GAGATTATCATTTAAAATTAAAATTGCTATTGGATATATTTTAAAACATTCATGGAATAGATCTACCACATCCAGCATTCATTTACAGATATGAAGAGGGTGAGGCGTTTGTTTATCAATGATGATACTTCTGTATGTGGATGTTCTAAAATTATAATGCATAAGGATATTACATAATTTATGTGCCTTTTTTGCATTGGATTTGTCATTTTTAATATGAAGATCATATACTAATCATACTAATGTTTGATATTCATGCATAATTGCGTATTAAATAAAAAAAAATATATGCCTGTATTTTTATATATTTCATTACAAATGAAGTCTGTTCAGAAAGTTAATTTTATGTATTAATTACAACGTTTAAAACCTGTACCTTAAGATACATGTAAAGGTATATTAAGTTGACAACATTGTGTACAGCAAAGTGCCATAAATGAGTCAACTTTTTTAATGGCTGCCATTTGAATCATGCAAAATCAACTTACCTGAATTCCTTCCCAGACTCTTAAATGAACTCTAATCAGTCTAATATTTTGTGATTTCACCTTTCTGGATGAGTACTTTTCTGCATCTTCTTGGAAGGCTTGCATAAAGTTTTTGAATGTAAAATAAAGGGATTTCATTTAGTAACTGAGTTTTCAAGTCATTTACGTTGTGTATCAGGTAAAGGCTGTTTTTGATTTTGTTTTTCATAAGTAGCCAAACATTTTCGATTGGGCTCAGGTCGGGGGATTGAGGAGGCCAACTTATCTGTGGGATTCTGCACTATGTAGATTAATTTAATTAAGAGATTTGTCAACGAAATGTACAGTTACAGGTGACTTAATGTACATATTTCAAATATCCAAATCTACTTTGCTAAGATGTTATGCACTAAAAAAAAATCCAAAGAATAATTGCAGAACAAAATTGGTTAAAGGAATGAGAATGAGACAAATTGCACCAAACCTCAAATTTGATGAGATTTAATTTCCTATTATTTCATTAGAAAAAATTAAAAATAAGAGATTATGTAAAATAAATTGTAAAACTCCATTTTAGGCAGACGTTTTCCTTTGGAGACATTTTTATTATATATCCTCCAATCATCTTAAAGCTCACCTCTCGTTTCTAAGTGGCGTTATCCTATACTTTTAAAATGTTCTTATTGATTTATCTGACAGCCTTCTCACATATTCTTTAAATATAAAATACAGGGTCTGCACTAGGATTAAAATTGATGTCAGAGATTTAACACATCTTCCTGGTGCGTGTCAATTTGTAGATATGGATATATCATGTCAAGATAAAATATACCTGGGCTACAAATATATATGTCAGAGGTATACATATAAATCCACCCAAAATAATTCTTTAAGTAAAAATTTAATTTCAAATTCTATCACATGTAATATAACATGTGATATGGAACCAATACATTATATTTGCATTGATCTATTGTTTCTGATTTGTTTACATTTGCACGTGCTGTAGACCTGTACAAAAAAATAACACAATACATTTTTCATTATGAAAATGGGACAATGCTTCGACGATATACATGTATATGGAGATATCAAACAGTATTCGAATTCAGAAGTCCTTTTGAAATAGTACAGATCAAAAGCAGAGCAAACACTGACTTCTAAAAAATCGAAATTGTGATCAAGTGACGAGGATTAGTGAGCATCTCTTTTCTCTTTTCATTAAGAAGATTTTGACCAAATTCTGATTCATTTGGAATATATAAAAAAATTTGTCTTCTAATAACGGGGTGTCATTGGTACCCATTTATAGTGATTTTAAACATATTGGAAGGATAGTGCAAGAATAACTTTTCTCCGTGAAATGATTCTATTTTTCTTATGTATTGTTTAGTAATAGTATATGTGTATCTAATTTTTAAAAGCATCTTCAATGAACGTTAAAAATCCCTTTTATGAGTTATGAGTTATTGAAATCATATGACGATACCCAAAAATTGACAATAAAAAATTTCTCATTATCTTCAATGTATCCTTTACTTATTTGTCACAGGTTTGATTATCTTTTGCATGGAGTTCAGAATGTTTATCCTTCAGATATGGATATTATACAACCCTTTTAACAAGGAAGGTCTTAGTTGAAAGAGACCAGCTAGGAATTTAGTTTGCCAAGGGTTATTTTTTCAGCAGCACAAAACAAGACGCCTAAATAGTTTCATGAGAGTGGTATCATTTGATAATGTTTTATTCATAATGTCAACCATTGCATGATTATCGGACATGAATAATACTTTCTTGTTGCTTAACAATGGGGCCCAAACTTCTATTGAAAACAACAGGAAATATTTCTACAATAGCTACTAGTATTCAAGATCCTTTGACAATTTTGGAACAAACCACTTGTTTCCAAGCACCACAGCAAACCCAACAGACCTTGCTGCATCAGTAAAAAGTGTAATTCTCCACATGTCGATATCAGCTCGAGCTTCATTGCTTAGGTTGAAAGCATGAGAGGGCTTTGGAATTGTACAGGTGAGATTTATTAATATCAACGGCGTAGAAAGGCAAAGACTCACCCCGTACTATAAATTATTATGCAAAATTAAGGAGGCCTATGAGAGTTTAAAATTCTCATAAGGGGGTTTTAAAATTGCCCTGACATTCCTGTAATTTGTTTCCATCATTTTCTGCTTTGACTTGTGGTAAGCGGCATCCCATAGAAACTGTATCAACTTCTTTACCATAGATGGTAAGACAAGTTGTTGGAGAAAATGTTTTATTACGCTACGTTATTAGCGGACCTATTTTTATATTCATATGAATTCGTGCATAAATCTTAAGTGTGAAAAGAAGAAAACATTTGCTGTGGCCTTTAACTCGACATTTAGATATATCAATGATGTATTGTCAATTAAAATGATAATTTCCTTTCCTACGTCGATACGACATATCCTGGTGAGCTTAAGATAAGATACTACAGAGTCTGATACATCTGTTTCATACTTGGAAATTTTACTTGAAAAGAATGTATAATGGCAAACTAACAACCAAGCTTTAGGATAAACGTATTGACTTTAAATTTTCTATAGTCAACTTCCCTTACTTTTGCAGCAATATACCTTCATCACCTGCATACAGAGTATATATATTTCAGTTGATTGGATACGTAATGCTCTACGTATGAACAATTTCTTAAACGAGGTAAAATATTGACAAGCAAGTTGATGATACAAGAATATCAGCAGTCTCGTTCAAAATCATCATTTTGTAAGTTCTATGGTCGATACAATGACCTTGTCAGCAAATACAATTTATCATTGAATCAAATGCTGACTGACGTTTTTCATACCAATTGTTGGTCCATCATTTATACACTGAATTAACGACGGATTTTCCCGCTATTTTCTGATCATGAAGAAATTGCAAGGAGCACACGGCTGGTGTGACCGTCAGCAGGGGATGCTGACCTTCCATGGCACCTAATCCCATCTCTAAAGTTTCGGAGGTCCGTGTTTGCTCTGCTCCTGTTTTATATTGTTTAATGGATTTTGAGATTGAATACTGTTCGTTATCTCCATATCCTATTTTGACTGGAACATTCAACCTGGCACGGAGATACAGAATATAAGTTAAGTCAATTCGAGAAGTTAACTTTTCAGGAAGACCTATAAAGATAAAATAATCCAAAATATGTAGCATACCTAGAGCACCAAATTTTGCATTCATTATCCGCTTTAAAGCAGTGCTAAAGGACTAAAAAGAATTGGCAGGAGGTACTAGCCCCCATCGGAAGACGACGGTCATAGTAAAATTTGCCCTTCCAAGGAAAACCCGCTAGATGACCCTGGCCAACAAACTTCCTGTGCCAAACTTTTGAACGAGTTCAACAAAATTATCGATAGAATCGTAGTTTATATACTTTTGAGTTTTCGGGGGAGGATTGTACTTTTATCTTAGTTTGTTATTTGGATAAGATAACTTATGGATAATGCAAAATTTGCCTGGCTCAGATTTCGGGAGAACGCTTAGTCGGGAGAATTTAAATACTGGAAAGGTGGCAATTCAAAGGGACCAGCTAAATATTTCTCATGTAAGCCTTCTTGAATGAATGAATACATGTATATAATTTCAATTTATGGGTGCTTCGCACAGCTCATTTGATATTTAGAGATATACCTTGAAGGAAAACTTCGACAGCATATATGACCCCAACCCCTGAAAAGTACTAATTTCGCGCGGGCTTGCGTGTCATTGCCGGAGAAGAAGGAATTAAATTTTTTTAGGGTGTACTGGTGTCGGCAGATGAGGTGTTGTATTTAGATTGTTTGGTGTAACTCCCTTGCAATTTCACTTTAGATGGTGTTTTTTGCATAGTTGGCAGAGGTGTTGGTAAAGACAAAGGGATTTTACCCCCCCCCCCCCATTTGAAGGCAAAGCTGACTTCTTCCCTCTGGTGAACTGTCTGGCTTTGCGAAAAGCATCATTTGTATATCGTATATTGACCATTTAATTTCGAAAACGCTTTGATTTGTAGTTCCTCCACTAGTTTTTGTCAAGGAAGATATGCTGATTACCAGAAACGATAGAAATTTTCATCATATACACCAAGCCCCATTGGTCTAAAGTGCGTAAATCTCTCTTCACTTCAACACTAAAATCTTATTAGACTCTGCCAAACAAGCATGTTTGCAAACCTTCTAGAAAACCAATAAAATAAAACCAATTGCGAAATTCTTCTTTCATAATTTATTTGCTCTGACATGAAACGTATCCTTTGATTAATTGAATTTGAATAATTCTGTTCAAGTTTATATTAAAAGGAGTCCAACACATTTGTTTTCACTCTAGGATGGATTCAAGGCTTTTTTCGATCGGAAAACGCATTTAATTATAATCCTAAACCCTTGGTATGTTCATTCCACCTACTATTAAGATTGGTTCATAAGGTCTTTGATCTGGATAGTTATCTGGAATACCCATTCTTCATAAATTTGCTGCAAGTTCAAAGCTTTATTTTAGCATCTAGTTTTTTTTTGCTAGCGTAATAAATATTATCTATTATTTCAAAATTTAAAATGAACAATACATCACTTAAAACTTCCCATTTTAATAGCAAACTTTTCAAGAATGTAATGTTGTACTATAATAAGGATATAGGTAATTATGCAATGCAAATCAACCAATTGCTACACCTAGTTAATTTATCATTTTTAAAAAGTCATATTGCTAACAATTTTATGAATCATCAACAAATATGAAAAAAACATCATTTTCTCTAAATCTACAAATTTTCAAAGTATAAATAAGTATCTTTATGTAGCAAAATTGCTAAATACGTAAGAGTAATATAAATTCGAAATTTCATTGTAACTACAGTGTATTTAAGTATGTAATATTATGCTAATTTTTATAAACATTTTAATTAAAAGCAAAAGATTAAATTTCCTTTTCTTATAAAAAGGAGAGTAATGATTTGTTCATCAATAGAAGTGTGTTTTCTTTTCGATTTCCATTATTCCGTGTAATTGTCTTCTCGTTGTTTAATGTTGCTGCTCCTAAAATAGATTATATTTTAATCAATTGTAATATTTAAAGAAACAAGATGTGTTTTTTTATCTTTGATGCCCCCGTGTGGCAACTTGGTGAAGCTGTTAAACTTTCTCAAATGCAACTCAAATAGGTCAAAGGGCCAAAGTTGTTGGTTTCTAAAGAAAGGTCTTGTCACAAGAAATCATTATATATTTGAAGTATGAAAGCCCAAATTTTTACCGTTCAAAAGTCATGGCCAAGGTAAAAGTTTTTCTAAAGTATATCAAATACCTAGGTCGAAATCAAAGGATCACAATTGTTTGTATCATATATACGGAATGTTTTGTCACAAGGATTAAATGTGTGAAGTATCAGAGCCCTAGCCCTTACCGTTAAAAAGTGATGACTAATATTAAAGTTTTTATATGAAGTCAACCTCCCAATGTAAAGGTCAAAGAATTATTGTTGAAATCGAATGAAATAACTTGTCGCGAAGAATACGCTAGAGAAGTATAAAAGCCCAAGCACCAATAATTTAAAAGATATGCCCAAAGAAAAAGTTTGGTATTTATTGTAAAAGTAGGCCAATTTCCAAGGTTAAGAGGACAAGTTTGGTTGTATCGAAAGAAAGGTCTAGTCACAAGGAATAAATCTGTGAAATACATGTATGAAAGTCATAGCCCCACCCACTGAAAACTTAAGGGCAATGTTAAAGTTTTTGCGGACAGACAGACAAACGGACAGGACAAAACAATATACCCCGAATCTTTGAATACGGGGACATACATTTTTTGATTTCTTTAAAATTCATTTTTAAAATATTACTTTAAAATTTCTTTTATGCATGTCATAAAAAAAGTAAACATTATTGGAAATACTTTATTTTTAAAATACTTTACAATATTTATCAAAAATATTTTTCTTGAAAATTATTCAATGCAAAAGATGAAGTTAATATTTTTCTTTCATATGACTTACTCGTGTCACGTTGTACTTTATTTTAGGCCGTTTAATGTGAAACTGTTAAAATTAAATAAATTAACTATATACATGTAAATATTCAAATTCAAAGAAAAAATATATGCTAACCAATCCAATAATAATGCTATTTGTCAAGTATTGTCTTCGTGTTTTAATACATGACATTGTTATTAATCGTATCTAATTTTAGATCCATTATTTCGCTTTAAGAGTCACATTTCATACATACATAATGTTCAATAGCAGGTACATTGTAATTGCAAATTCTCTGAATTTGGGAAACAGTAAGGGAAAAACATGATATTGGTTTATTATAGCATAAACAAATTAATTTTTACATTAAACAAGAGGCCCATGGGCCACATCGCTCACCTGAGAAGCTTTGACCATTCTGTTCTTTACCAGATTTCACCCTTGTTATACATAATGCATCCCCACCCTACCCCACTGATCATAATTTAGACATTTTGAAATCTACACTACCCCATGATCCTTCCATGGGCACATATGTTTCAGCTTTTTTGGCCCAGTGGTTCCTGAGAAGAAGATTTTCAAAGATTTTTCCTATATATTTCTATATAAAACTTTGATTCCCCATTGTGGCCCCACCCATCTCCCGGGGGTCATTATTTGAACAATTTAGAATCTACATTATACCAGGATGCTTCCACATAAGTTTCAGCTTTTCTGGCCCAGTGGTTCTTGAGAAGAAGATTTTCAAAGATTTTTCCTATATATTTCTATGTAAAACTTTGATTCCCCATTGTGGCCCCGCCCTTCCCCCGGGGATCATGATTTGAACAATTAAGAATCTACACTATACCAGGATGCTTCCATATAAGTTTCAGCTTTTCTGGCCCAGTGGTTCTTGAGAAGAAGATTTTCAAAGATTTTTCCTATATATTCTATATAAAACTTTGATTCCCCATTGTGGCCCCGCCCTTCCCCAGGGGGTCATGATTTGAACAATTTAGAATCTACACTACCCCAGGATGCTTCCACATAAGTTTCAGCTTTACTGGCCCAGTGGTTCTTGAGAAGATTTTTTTAATGACCCCACCCTATTTTTGTCTTTTCTTGATTATCTCCCCTTGCGAGGGAATATATCCCTTCATTTTAACAATTTAAATTTCCCTTTACCCAAGAATGCTTTGTACCAAGTTTGGTCAAAATTGGCCCAGTGGTTCTTGAGAAGAAGTCGAAAATGTGAAAAGTTTACAGACGGACAGACAGACGGACGGACGGACGGACGGACAGACGGACAGACAGACGGACGGACGGACGGACGGACAAAATGTGATCAGAAAAGCTCACTTGAGCCTTCGGCTCAGGTGAGCTAAAAAGCTGTGCCAAACTGACAGACCTAAATATAAATAATATAATATACAAGTTTATGGTTTAAGATTTAAAAGCAAAAGAAGATACCGAAAAGACCCTAACCACAGCGTCATATGTAAGTGCAGTTATCCTAAGTTACGATACAGATGCAAAGATTAAGAAATCAATAAATATCATTTTTTTTCTTACATGCAATATTAAATTTTTTAGACTTGTACTATTATTGAAGAAAAACAAAAATAATGACTTTATTTCTTACTTGCTCCTCAGAATGAAGTTTCTCAAAAGTGGAATCCAGTGTATAATTCGGATTACTGCATCCTTTTTAGAAAAAAAAAACAGGAGAATGTGTCATAGTAAGATAAAAATTACCAAAAACGTTTCCAAAATCATCCAAGCTTAAAAAAATAATTTCTCAGATTGCAATAAATAACATTCTTATTTAAATCTAATTTCCGGTCTTCACACCGAATCTAATTTCTTAGTTTTAAGATCCATAATCGGAGCAGATATGAGAATTTGCAATAGGTCATAGGCCCAAGTATTAATCTACGAAGTGAAAGAATAATTTTCAAACACCCTAGTCTTCTTGTAAATACACATTTTATGACCATATTATCAACTCTTTTGAACATTTATGCAACTTACCCTCGGATATATTTCCGTTTCCTGTTTCCATTCCAAGAGAATCAGCAAAAGTATCCCCAGAATACCCATTTCCTTCGGTTTTTCTCTGGAGCATGTTTTTTGATTTGATAGAATCATAATCTGTGGTCGACTTAAGACAGCTATTCTTTTCTCTGAAGTCTATACTCTTGTTTGATCTGTAGTAAGCATTGTATGAAATAAAACTGGGAAGATGATGTGCCAATAGTTTACGTTTAAAAGATGATGTCTTAAACACAATTTCGTTGCAGGCCACATTAAATATATTTATATGTGGTTGTGACAGACCCTTCCAGATTGTCCAAGTCTATCCATAAATGCTTCAGATCTTTAAATTACAATTTTCAACGTTCATAAACGTGTCTTACTTTTTGTCAATGGCAAATTGCAACTATTTCCAATTAAATTTCTTTCTATGTCAAAACGTTCTATGTAAAGTTGCAAATAGATTAACGTTTTAAAATTACATGTACCACCGCTTAATCAAATTATATGTTAGATGTCAGAAAATTTTTCTCGAGTGCAAGGTTTCGAATTGATATCCAGGCTATTATAAATTAATTTATATTTCTTAAACAAAAATTATACGGATTGCATACAATATCCATTGATCACTTAATTACTTTAATAAACAAAAAAGTACATGAATTAATGACATCACAAAAAAGTATATATATCTGAGCTTGATACAGTCATATACAATTCTAAGGTTAGGCACTGAATGTGTTTCACTCGAAGAGAATTATAGAGAGGCTTAACAAAAATTTTAATTTATTTTTCACAATATTCATCATATTTTTGTGCATCTATCGAATATGCAAAAGAGTATATTGTTGAATGTAAATAAATCCCTAGTAATCGATGCGAATGGACTAATACCCATGTCCTAATAAAATGAGCTAGTCCATGCTTTGGAAGCTATTTCCAGGTAGTCTGTTATAATCTACATTTTTGTATTAGTATTATACATTAATGTTTAGTAGACTGGGCTAATTTCCGCCCCGAAAGCTATTTGAAATTCCCATTTATCCATAATCCTTCATTTTATTTACTTTTTAATCGCTACATTAAAACAAATAAAAGCAAACTTTTGAGTTATCAAGATTCATGATCCTCTCAAACAGGATTATTCCCCGAGGCGCAGCTAAAGGAAATGCAAATATGAAGTCAGCCTTGGGAAAATGGTTTCTAGGAACGTCCCTTAATGATGACATTGTACTTAAATTGTCTTATTATGCCAAGCCAGCAACAGTTACCCACAGAAGCACACATATTTATATTCGAAGTAATTAAAAGTAAATTCACAAAGAATGTATATAATAAGCATACTCCTTTATTTCTTTCTTGTCGGTCCGCTTTTGATAACGCAAACAGATGATAACTAGAACGATGATTGTTATCAGCAGAGGAATGCCTACTCCTAGGATGACAATGTAGGTTGAAAAGTCTGAAGAAAAGAAAACAAATATATATAGCAAGTTTAAGCAGTTCGGTATTGAATCTCTTCAGAAAAAAAACATATATTCCTGAAAACATCGAAAGTATCTATTACCTATACATTAAAGTAATTATATAATATTCTAAAAAGTGAAAACTATTATCTCTGTATTTAGAGTTTTCAATAAAACTTTACCTGATAAATCTGACTTTTCTTTCCTGTGAAGATGGAAATAATCTTTTTAAAGTATCTTTGTTTATGTACACAATGCAGTTATAAAATCAATAGTTGCCTCCAGTAAAAAATGAAATAATAAGTAATGGAAACTCTATATGAAGCACTTGACTCACACACAGGTTGCTGCACCGGACGACTCCTCACATTTCTGACCGGTAGTACAAACATCCAGGCCTTCAAAGGATGCACAAGCTGATACAGTACCAGTTGTTAAAACTGAAATGTATATTGCATTCATTTTAATAGAACAAACCCCTTACAAATAATCATCTAAATGATATTAAAAGCAATATGAGCTGCGTGTTTGACATCGGAAAATTTTATTGCAAATTTGTAATTAACTAATTTAATGACAGAAAAATAAATCATTTATAAACTTCTGTTATTCATATTTGCGATGGAATTTTTTTTATTAGCTTTCATTGAAGCAAATTTGAATTATTGTCGTCCTGTATAATAATGATTTCTTATAAAAAAAAACTGTATACTCCGTTGTACAGAAATATTTCTTCTGAAACATTTTTTTAACTTAATTTGGGCTTGTTGGTCATAAAGGTTTAAATTACATATAAACTAATCATAATAGCACAATTTACCAGCAAAATAAAATTCTCCATGATACAGCTCATATTGCTTTAAGAGATAACCCGAGAATTAAATTGACTATTGAGTTACACGTTTAGGTGTGGAAAATAAAGCCTTACTTACCTTTCTTCACTGTTCCATTCTCATCTTTAAATCTAATTTCCTTTATGCCTGACGTCTGGTTCAACATACTAAGTTTTTGTACACCAGTAGAAAGTCCTGTCACGGCGTTAGCAAAGTCACGTTTTAGATTACTTTCCTTGTCTTTACTCCCAATCACTTCATGATCAAAATCTACACTTCCATATCTGAATTAAACACATCTCTATGAAAGTGTTTTATTTGACTTATACAAAATTAGCAAAAACAAGCTGCGGTGAGCTTGCCTATAAGCATAAGAATACATAAAAAGGTTTTTTAAAAAGAAATTTCGAGCTAACGTTTGAAAAAAGATGTACTTTACCTTCGAAATTGTAATTTTGAGGAATAATATTCAATAAAGATGAATGTTAACATTTAAAAAGACTTACCGGATAGACAGAACCAATACTTTAATAAACCCGCGAATCTTTTCTTTGTAGAATTTATCCAGCTGTTTTATATTTTATAAAAATAAAAAAGAATATGAATCAAAAAATCTCAAAAATATAAATGATGATAATATTTCACATGATTCACGAAGTACATAAATATGCTTATTTTGCTCTTGTGGCAGTTATGTTTATTCTTACCGATGTTTGGATTTCTGTAAGCCACGTCTGGCTATTTTTCAGGAAGTCCTCTCTACTTATATTGACATCAAATTTGAATTCAGCTCTCACCTTAACCTCTGTTCTACCTAAAATGATACATGTATAATGTTTCATAAATATCGCAGCCGAAAAAAGTTTCAGCTATGTAGTCACAGAAACTGGACTGGAACTAGATTTTCTAGTTGGTATCTATAACTAGATTCTTGCCAAATTTAAACTTATTGAACATTTGATGGGATTGATTATTTTTATGCATCAATATTTTTTTATTATAAAGCTTGGTAATTTAAAACTGCTCATTTCCTTTGTTCATGTAAGCAAGTAGAGAGAAAAAAATGAAATATGCAAAGGAAAGGTCTTCGACTTGTTAGACTTAGTCGATAGGTAAAAATGCAACTTCTTCAGCTGTTAAAGTGTGCATCAAGGGAAAAACAAATCACTGCAAAGAATGTTTAACATATTTGTAAATTTATGTCAATGACTGTTTTGACAAAACTGTTTTCTTCAGATTTTCCCCCTTGTTAACCCCTCACTGCAGGAGGGTTTGTGGTGCAACTATGTGGATGCCACCTGGAATTAACTCATTTATGTTATATTTTATGCATATTTACATGTTATCTGATATTTTCACTGCATGTAAATCTCTAGTCAGTCTTAGAGGGATCACACTTGTACCTTTCATATATGTACATGTATCCAAGTATTTTTTTAATATTAGGTGATCCCCCTTAATGATTCAATTAAATAAAATAATCGACAAAACTGCATATCTGTGTTTTGTCGTGTTTTACTGCTCTATCAGGCTGATATTTCTCATAGGTGGCATAAATTGTAATTTTTTGTACACTTAATAATTAAGATTGGACACGGTGTAGACAAACTATTAGTATTAAGAAGCAGACAGAATTGTTAGAAAATTACAAATCATTTAGTTTCTTGCTTTTTTTTCTTTTTAATTTCTTTTTTGAATAAAATATTCCTGCACGTAAGGATTTTAAGAGAGTCAATAGAATTGATCGATTTTATTGTAACTCGCAAAGCGTACTTTTAGTGAAACGCGCTTACGTGCTACATTCAAGTTGACGTCCACGTTTACGTGTTACGACCTGTTAGTGATACGGTTGTCAGTATTGTAGACTTTTTAAAGTTTCTCAACAATAGATTAAAATGTTTCAAAACCGAATTGCCAATAACTGAACAAAAACCAAAATCTTTAAAAAGAGGTTAAATGTTTAATCTTTACCTGGAATATGTGGCGCTTTTGGTTCTACAAACAAGAAAAATATTTCTGATGATCTGTGCATGCACATGTAGCTTACAAAGATAATTTTCAATTGAAGCATCTTATATAAATAAGGTTTCAGACTTACGTATACAATCAGAAAGATTTTGTCCACCAAATTCGCATTCGCAATGGGAAGAACCAGGAGTGTTAACACAAATTTGATATGGGGCTGTACTGCAGATCTGTGTTTCTTCCTTGCACTCATCTACATCTTCTGAACAGTCAGCGCCAGTCCATCCGATTTTACATCGACATGTTCCGTTGCCAGTATCGCATTCTTTGGTTTTGTCAGGAACACACGTACATTGCTCAGAACATTGGTCCCCAAAGGTGAAGTTTTGGCAGTCTAATAAAAAGTAGAATTAGAGGTTTAATTCATTTTATGTTTGAATGAATGTCATACTTAAACCATTGAATGTTGTTTTTTAGACTCAATTTTTAAAGATATATAATTTCGAAACTTACTATCACGTCAACAATTAAAGATTTAAAATCTATAATCTATATAAAAATATCTAACAAATACCAGTTTATAATAAAAAAAAAAGTAAGTTGTCGCGATCTTTAAATTAATATTATTTAAGATAAGGATAAGAAATATTCTTTTCGTTAATATTTTTAATCCTAAAAAAGTACTTTTTAGTACACTCACAGTAACTTTTTTTTCTTAATCGAGTACCTGTACATGTTAATCCATTGCCTTTGAATCCTCTCAAACAGCTACAATTAAAACTGCCTTCTGTATCCATACAAATGGCGTTTTCGGAGCAATTGTCAATGTGTTCGAAACATTCATCAATATCTTTAAAAAAAAAAGTAGAAGCTTACAATGCTTTTACCTGAGCAGTATATTCAACTCAATTCAAGAATTTTATATGCTGTACTTTCCGTCAAGCGTTTATATTCGACAGTCTAGAATCAATGGTACAATATTTTGCGTTTTAAAAAATATATTAAAAAGCACATTTTCTTGAATAATTTGAAAGAACATTGTTGTACAATTTTAAAATTTATTGAAAACAACGTGTGGTATTGTATGTTTACACTGATAATTATGATACAAATGAAAATTTCGACGGTTGTTTCTGATATTACTTACTAAAGCAGTCTTTTTGTGTGGTTGCGTTCAGTCGGAATCCTTCATTACAAGAACATTCGAAGCCCCCAGGAAAATTAGAACAATGGTCACAATGAGCGGATTCACATTCGTTTATATCTTTGCAATTTTTCTCACTTATAAGCTCGTATCCTGTTTTACAACTACATTTGTAACTTCCCGGTGTATTTTCACATTTCTGATGACATACAAAATGTTCCTCGCATTCGTCTATGTCTGCATAAGATTCAAATTATCAAGATAATATGGAGGAATTCAGTAATGTTTTATTTATATGTACAATAGAAAGATTCAAGACATATATAATATCAAAAATTTACAAAAAGGTTGAAAATATTTAAAGAAAATTATCACAAGTAGCTTTGTGCTATTCTCCTACAATCATTTTGAAAGAGAATATCAGTTTCTTGAAATATTAATTTGAATACTAGCGTTAAGTTGAAAACAACGAATGCATACAATAAATATTTTTTTTTTAATTCATGGTAAATGATAAATATTTCAGTTTGATGTTGACTAAATTTTATGTAATTATCTCGTCAAATTTAAAATAAAGTGTCAAGGAAATTATGTACCCTCAAAATAAAGATTCACATTAAATATCTCTATGGAGTAAGACGCTGAAAAGGACAGAATTTATCAGTAGATAAGTGCCTACAATTTAAAATTATTTACTCTATAGCTATCAGATAATTTCAGTGCATCTGTTGCCATTGTCAAGATTCACGATTTACAACCCCTAACAAATAAATTGTGCATTTACCTTTACAGACTCCCGAACGATTTTTGAATCCTTCAATACAATCACATCGGTAGTATCCCGGAGCATTAACACATCTCTCATGTGGTCCCGTACATGGTCTATTCTCACATTCGTTGATATCTACATCACAGGTGTCCCCAATCCAACCTGGCTTACATACACACCCGTGTACATTGTCACATACACGGGCTCCTCTTCCACATCGACAAAGCTCCTCACAGTTCATACCGTAGTGATACTGGTCACATGCTAGAATTAATTATTTGTTAGATTGTTTTTGATTTTTTTTTCAAAACATAATCAATCAAACCCCAGGATTATTTACTTCAAAATTATAGTTGCTAAAATGCACTTTTTTTTCAAAAATCAAAATTTGTGTATTATCACATTTCAACACGATAGTATAAGGATAAAATCTGAATGGCTTTATCTAAGGGAGGATATGCAGATATTGAAAAGTTTTCCATATCAAAGTCCATAAAACAAATCAAATTAGGAGCAGAGCAAACTCGGACCTCCGAAACATCAGACATGGGATCAGGTGCCATGGAGGAGTGAGTATCCCCTGCTGACCGGTTACATCCGACGTTTGCTCCTTGTCATGATCGGGAAATAACGGATTTACGGAAATATTCGTCGTCAATTCAGTGTATAAATAATGGACTAATAATGAGTATGAAAAAAGCCAGTAAGCATGGGACTCAATGATAAATTGTATTTGCTGACAAGGTATCGACTACAAAACTTATGAAATGATGACTGTTTCATCAACTTGCTTGTCAATAATTTACCTCGTTTTAGAAATTGTTCATACGTAGAGCATACTCTTGCGTATCGAATCAATTGAGATATATATAATTATATAATCCGTTTGCAGGTGATGAAAGTATATTGCTGAATATGTAAGTGAAGTTGACGATAGAAAAGTTAAAATCATCAAGTTTATCATATAAATTGGTTGTTAGATTACCATTAACGTCTTTTTCAAGTAAAATATCCAGGTATGAAACAGATTTGTCAGAATCTTTGGTATACTTTATATCATGCTCACAATTATATATCGTATCGACGTAGGAATGAAAATAAGATTTGTTAATTGACAATATATATCGTCGATATATCTAAATGTCGAGTTGAATGCCACAGCAAGCGTTTTCCTCTTTTCATGCATACGATTTTGCATAAATTCTGCTTTATATGAATATAAAAATAGGTTTGCTAATAAAGGGGCGCAGTTGCTACCCATGATATCTCCAATAGATTGTTGGAATTTTCGTATTCACTGGTACTTGAGCAGTTACTCAGTTCCAAAGATTTTGTTTAAGGAATAAATTAAAAAACAACCCAAAGCATGCTGTATAACCTGGGTTGGGACAGTTTACGCTTATATATTTCAATGTTTATTTAAAAAAAAGGCTAACTGCTTCAACCCAGAATATAGCAGTATAACTTGTGTAGCTATTTTATTTATTCTTTATCTAATTTTTAATAATTAAATATAGAAAAAAAAGACAATTGGTCCTTAAAACCTCTTCAATTATGAATATTTTAAACGTAAAATTCTGCAAACGGACTGATACGTTTTGACTAGTCATTGTGATGTACATGTAGGCAACCAAGGTTACAGTTTAGAATAATTTTTATCCACTCAAATGATGCGTTACAACCTAAATTAAATTATAAAATGATATTTTCAAAATACTCCAAAATGAACTCAAATAAGTGTTTTCTATAGTTTACTTCGAATATTTCACCTTTACAGGATCTGCCATCATTTTCAAGTCTGTAACCAGTTGCACAGCTGCAGTTGTATGAGCCCTCCTTATTGGTACAATTGTGATCGCAGGTAGACACTTCTTTACATTCATCAATGTCTTCATACAAAAATGGATTTTATTATATACATGAAGATAATTATGGTACATAATTAATACTTTAAATTGAAGTCATAGAAGAAATGTAATTTACAGATTATCAAAAAGTTACAAAATCAACAAATATCAGTCAGATTACCTTAAAGTTTCACTTTTCTATCTAGAACCGATCTGTTGACAAACCGACCGACCAAAAAACATGAACGAAAATTACGTCAAAACAGAATAAGAGGAACATGGGCCTTATAAGTCATTTGAAGAACAATGCAACAACTTTCCAACAATTGAATTTGGTTCATGTTTTGAACTAGAAATCATGGCATTCACAATTTTTAAAGAGGCACCATTGCTTATCATAACTATACAGTAAGCATGTTAAGTTTGGTTATTTTATACCCATAGACAGAGTAGGGGAACACAAAAATGCATTTCAACTGATCAGTAATATTCAGCAATGATTAGTAGTGCAACTACCACACAGGAACCCCTGACCCTGGGTCCACACATTTCACAATTTTGGAAAATACACCCTTGCTTATAAAAAATGTTTGATTAATACCAAGGAGCAAATTTCAAACAATTAATTTATTTTTATTTTATATTACGTAGACCCCCTCTATGCTACCATTGACTCAGGGGCCTTGCCTGCAATTCACAATTCAGGAAGAATGGACCTTGCTCATCATAAGTATATAGGTAGTTCATCTGCTACCCAGGAGCCTAGAAGAAAACTTTCTATGATTTAATGTAATTTCACTAGAAGATATTCAAGGAATTAATATTTTTTCACTATATAATCAATAGAGCCCCACCCTAACTCCAGAACACTTGACCATAGGGCCATCAAATTTACAATTTGGGAAGAGGAATTCTTCCCCATCATAACTATGTACTAATTTTATTTAATACCCAGGATCATAAAAGAAAATTTTCAAGGAATTAATGTATTTTCACATATAATCAATAGAGCCCCGCCCTAACACTATAACCCTTGACACTGGAGCCATAAAATTCACAATATGGGAAGAGGCATTCTTCCCCATTATAACTAAGTACATGTTCTTATTTTATTTGATACCCAGGATCAAAGAAGATTTTAAATAATTATTGTATTTTCACTATATAATCAATAGAGCCCAGCCCTAACACCAGAACCCTTGATCTTGGGGCCTTAAAATTCACAATTTGGGAAGTGACGTACTTCCCCATCATAACTAAGTACTTATTTTATACCAAGGATCAAAGAAGAATTTTTTCAAAGAATTAATGTGTTTTCACCTATAATCATTAGAGCCCCGCCTTAACACCAGAACTCCTGACCCTGGGGCCATAAAATTCACAATTTTGGAAGAGACATTCTTCTAAATCATAACTGTATACTTATTTTATTTAATACCCAGTGGCAGAGAAGAAGATTTTCAAAGAATTAATGTATTTTCACATTTAATCAATATTACCCCGCCTTAGCACCAGAACTCCTGACCCTGAAATTCATAATTTGGGAAGAGGCATTTTTCCTCATCATATCTGTATATTTAGTTAGTTTGTCTAATATCAAGGAGCAGAGAAGAAGAAGATTTTCAAATAATTTCTGCATTTTCTTATATAAATAAAAGAGTGCCACCCTAACATCAGAACCCCTGATCCTGGGGCCATAAAATTTATATTTTTGTAAGAGGCATTCTTCCTCATAATAATTATGTAGGCCTACTAGATAGTTTATTTGATACACAGGAGCAGAAAAGAAGATTTTTTTTAAAAAGAAATAATGCATTTTCACTATATAATCAAAAGAGCTCTGCACTAGAACTCATGATTCTGTGGAAATTAATTTAGCAATTTTTGTAAAGGACTCAATATTCTTTACCTTCATGCAAACAATTTAACTGCTTGATGTCCTGGAGTAAAGAAGATTTTTTAAAAATTGTATTACTCTAAGTGAATTTGGCAACTTCCCTTAGACCAAGGGGGGGGGGGGGGGCAGGGACCATGAAATTCACAATTTTTGTTTACCTTTACCCATAGATGCTTTCTGCCAAATTTGGTTGAAATTGGTTGAGTGGTTGCAGAGAAAAGGCTAAAAATGTTCAAAAGTTTACGACCGATTGATGACGGACGACGTACGACGGACGACAATATGTCACCCGAGTGACTCAGGTGACCAAAAAAAAACAGATAATGTTCATTAGATGTTATACATGTATTTAACCTGAATCGGTGAGAACCTTTATAACAAATAGTCTAGAGCATTTTATGAAAAAAATAACAAGAGGCCCACGGGTCTTATAGGTCACCTGATGCAACAACTTTCAAATGATTGAATTTGGTTCATGTTTTAAACTAGATGCTATTGCATTCACAATTTTGAAAGAGGCACCAATGCTAATCATAACTATACACTTAGCAATTGTTTGGTTTGTTTACTTAATACCCATAGGCAGGGTAGGGGAACAAAAATGTATGTCAACTAATCAGTAATATTCAGCGATAATAAGGAGTGCTCCTACTACACATGAACCCCTGACCCTAGGTCTACAGATTGCACAATTTTTGAAAAGGCACACTCGCTTATCAAAATTTTTGATTAATACCAAGGAGCATATTTCAAACAATTCATTTTCAGTATATAAGTAGAGCCCCCCCCCCAATTTTGGTATCCCAGACCCAGGGGCCTTGAAATTCACAATTCTGGAAGAAGACCCCATCATAAATATCTAAATAGTTCATCTGCTTATTACCCAGAAGTAGAGAAAAAGATTTTCATAGATGTAATGCATTTTCACTATATAATCAATAGAGCCCCGCCCTAACACCATAACCCCTGACCCTGGGGCAATAAAATTCACAATTTATGTAGAGACACTCTTGCGCATCATAATTATGTACTAAATGAGTTTATTTAATACTCAGGAACAGAGTAGAAGATTTTCAAAGAAATAATGCATTTTCACTATATAATCAATAGAGCCCCGCCCTAACACCATAACCCCTGACCCTGGGGCCATAAAATTCAAAATTTTGGTAGAGGCACTCTTGCTCATCATAACTATGAACTTAATTAGTTTATTTAATACCCAGGACCAGAGAAGAAGATTTTTAAAGAAATAATGCATTTTAACTATATAATCAATAGAGCCCCACCCTAACACCAGAACCCCTGACCCAGGGGCCATGAATTTCACAATTTTGGTAGAAGACTCAATGCTGATTACAATCATACCAACAGTTTGACTGCTTGATGTCCGGGAGTAAAGAAGAAGATTTTTAAAGATTGCACTTAATTTAGTGGTTTTTGCCCCACCCTCCAGGCCCCAGGGGGGCAGGGACCACGAAATTCATAATTTTTGTTACTCTTCACCCATAGATGCTTTATGCCAAAATTGGTTGAAATTGGTTCAGCGGTTTCAGAGAAGAAGCTGAAAATGTTTAAATGTTAACGCACGACGGACGACGACGGACGAAAACAGATAGCAATAGGTCACCTGAGTTTACTAAGGTGACCAAAAATAAAACCAATAAGGTCACCTTAGAAGACGAATGACCCTCAAAAATACAAATAAAAAAAATCTGAGGGTAGTATATCTTCCACTGAAGAAGGAAGATCTCGGTGAATTACAATTTTGGTGCAAATGACCTTTTAAGAATCCCTTTTTGTTTGTATTTTTTTTTGTAATAAGCTTTTTCAATTCTGAATCATATAATTACAAAAGAAAAAAACTTGTGCAAGTAATATTTACCTTTGCAAGATCTGTTGTCTTCATCAAGCTCATATCCACTTTCACAAAAACAAAAGCCTTTACTTTTATCAATGACATCTCGTTTGCAACCATAAGTGCAGTTTAATTCTGGGAATGATGAACAAGAATCCCTTTCTGCATTATAAAAAGGAATTAAACGAATTATCCAAAGAGCCATATCAAATTATATTTCGGAATTAACTCATATTTAATTAAAAATGGAGAATTTCAAAAAACAGGGTATTCATTTTTTAATGGGGACTGCAAAATTATTGTTTATAAACTAATCAAGCAGAACCGCTGATTAAGTGTTTGTGAAACGTTTTACATTATAGATCCTGTGTTCATTGCACTCAGCCATTTTTCGCTTTATAACACATGAACACTGGGTAGACATTTTATTAAATGAATGTAAACTGTTCTGCGTGTTGTATCTCTGGCATATTTCATTGAATATCAATAAAGCATTATTTTTTTCACATTTGTATTACTAGCTTAATCCCAAATAGTTATTATGTTTTAATGTACATTCCTAGAATAATATTTGCTATTTTGCGTAAAGAATCGTACAATGGCTCTGACGATCACGATTTTTCTTGTATCGTAAATATTTATATGCGTAAAAAATTGTTTTTGTATAGGTTTAAACGAGTGTGATCTTTTGTGTATCCCGCATAAAATGTTAACGCTACCGTTTGACGACAATATATCTACTTTTCTATGAAGGATATGGAGATAACGAACAGTATTCAATATCGAAGTCCATAAAACAATACAAAAAAGAAGCAGAGCAAACACGGACCTCCTACACATCAGAGTTGGGATAAGGTGCCATGGAGGAGTGAGCATTCCCTTCTGACCGGTCACACCCACCGTGTGCTCCTTGTCACGATCAGGAAATAACGGGGGAATTTCAGTGTATAAATAATGGACTAACTAATTAGTATGAATAAAGAAAGTCAGCATTTGACTCAATGAGAAATTTTATTTGCTGACAAGGTCATTGTATTGACCATAGAAATGTCTTTAAACGAGACTGATGATATTTTTATTTCATCAACTTGCTAGTCAAGTTACCTCGTTTTAGAAATTATTCATACATAGAGCATGCTCTTGTGTATTGCATCAGCTATATATATATACTCCGTATGCGGACAATGAAGGTATATTGCTGCATAAGTAAGGAAAGCTGACGATAGAAAAGTTAAAGTCATCACGTTTTTCATAAAGCTTGGTTGTTAGATTACCATTAACCTTTTTTAAACGAGTAAACTTATAGTAATAAGAATAACGTTAAAATTTGCGAAAGTTTCAGCATGTGTCCATCAAACACATCCATAAATTCGAAATTTCAATAACTTCCAGATGAAAATATTTCATTATGTTTTTTTCACATGAAATGCTTTAGCATCATATAAGTCATGAAATTATACAGCCACCTTTTTAATCTTCATATTTCCTTTTCATTTGTTCTTAATTGATTTACTTCATTTTCAATTCGATATTTTTTTCGATCGCAATAAAAAGCCAATTTTATATTACATTTTTTATTAATTTGTTAAAATATTGGTTATTTGTTATGCTTCCGAAATGAAAAAAATGTACATTCTGTCAATTGCTCTTTTGAAAAATAAAGAAAATACCTATTTCACACGTCTTGCGATCGTCCGACAAAGCAAATCCATAGAAACATGTACAGCTGTAGCCACCCAACATATTGACACAGTCATGGGAGCAGCCATGAAGAGATGCCAAGCATTCGTCAATATCTGTTGTTTAAGTCAGAGTTAAATATTCAGGAGAAGGCCAAAGTATGAATCTTTCATTCAATCCTTTGATAAGATTTTGAAAATGACTAGTTATCCTGTATCTTAATGTTTCTATTTTGGTATAAGACATTTTCAAACATTTTTTCCCTAAATCTACTTTTTGAATTAAAACAAAACCAGAGAGCTTCTTATTTCTATAGAACACAAAAATTTATATTACATTTGACATAGGATTTATGTTGAAATTTATATGCATATAAATTAGTAAATTAACAAATCAAACTAATGAAAAATGAAATACCTTCACACACATTGTTTTTCTTCTGAAACCCTTCCTTACATTCGCAGGTGTAGTTACCGAATGTGTTAGAGCATTCTGTCGTGTCCTGTGGGCAGTCATTCAATGTGGCGTCAAAGCACTCATCAATATCTTAAAAGAATATTTAGTTATACAGTCCATGAGCCAGGTCATGAATTTTTCCGTTGCAGTATTATCTTAATATATGAATATTTTTTATATGTAAGTTTTTACAGACATGTTGATTTTCTTAAGTGTCTCTTTAAAGTTTCCATGTATGATGATTGAATTTTGAACAATTTTTAAAAATTTAAAAAATGCACTGCTTCATAACGATAAAAGTGAAATATAACAATTTCCGCCATTAGTAATATTTCTTGGAGGGATTCAATGCACATCTTCACAAGGATATTTGAAATTCAATTATTATTTTTACAGTACCTTATAAAAACATCCACTGCCAATACACTTTAATATAAAAAGTCAAGGTGTAATGAATTGAACAATAATCAATTTTTTTCTAATTCCTTTGGTGGAGCCTTTTTACTTGATAACAACTTCAAATTGCAACAATGATTAAAAATGTCGGATCATTGGTACAAAATATGGTCATTTTACATTTATTTTCCTAAAGAGATTAACATTTGTACATTTATTCAGTTTTATCTTGTTTTATTTTGATATCTGTATGAATATGGTTTAAGTTGCAGCTTCTGCATTGTGCTGTTTAATATACCATGTAGGGATATCTCTAATCATTTATCTTAATTTGAAGTTTTGACTTTATTCTTTAAAAATGCCATAACACTATTTTCAGTGAATTCTTGTTAAAAAAAACAAATTAAAAATATAACACCCACATACAATTTAAGGCCATTTTATGAAGAAAACGAACAATAATAATAACAACTTTTTATCAAAACATTTATCAGATTGGGGGGAAACGTAATTTGAAATAATGAATGTGACCTTCATATTTGTTTGCAACATTAGAAATGAGAGTATTTAAGCAAAAAAAAAAATCCCAAACCTGTACACGAATCTTCAAAGGCTTGGAACCCATCCACACAACGACAGTTGAAGGAACCCTCTGTGTTTATGCATAATTTATTAATTCCGCATATTGATGGATTTTGATGGCATTCATCTATGTCAATGCTGCAGTTCTTCCCCGTCCATCCCTTTTTACAAACACACCCAAGACCCGGATCACACCTGTCTCCACCTTGACCACAATTACACTCCTGGGAACAGTTGACTCCGTAGCTTAGTTCCTCGCATCCTTTGAACGTTTTTAAAAGTGCAGAAAAAAACATTTTTATTGGATGCATATCAATATATCACAGTTTATAAAATGGATCCATTATTCCTGATATGCACAGGCTAAACAAAAGAGTATAGCAGATCAACATGAGAGCATGCGGTCTAAAGTTTTTGGATTGCATTAAAAACATTTTAGACTTGGAAATGAACTCGTTTTTAGCGAAAGTAAAATCAAATGTGTTTTCTTCTGAAATATATAGAATAATTATCAAGCTTAAGTGTTTCTAAAAACAAGACAAGTCATTGACAAACAAGTTGATGAAGCAACAATATCAACAATTTCATTTCAATTTTTTTGTAAGATCTATGGTCGATACTATGACCTTGTCAGCAAATTCAAGTTTTCATTAAGTCAAATGCTTCAATGACAATAAAAACGTAAGTCCTGTGTCGCAGTGCTCTGGCACGAAAAGACACCTCCCTGCTCAATGGCCCTGAGTGCCGAGTATTGGTCAAAATTTGCAGCTCTCCACCGGAAACACATTTATCAATTAATACCTGCTATAACCTACGTAATGTAAAAGTTGTTTCGTGTTTTGAAACCCCAACGCACTCGATAATCAAAAGCATGAGTCGCCTGCGTGTTGCAGTGATGAGAACGTTTGCTTTAAAAGTCGCAATATATTAAGATGAAAAAAAAACCTTACAGCACGGGTTTGAATCTCGTTGTGTGACATGGAGACCGCTTTTTTTTAGATCTTATAATGACCTCATTAGCAAATATATTGTATCAGTGTTTGTATTTTGGCTGACTTCTTAGATAGGCCCTCGTTTATACTGAATTGGTCTACAGAATGTTCCATCTATGGTACCTTATATTATCAATTCGCTAACGTCAAGGCGAAATCAAATAGTCAACAATCTTTATACCTCCTTGGCACCGGGATCATGAAGCATCTTAAGCTTAAGTCAAAAAACTGTCTTAGATGCTGAAATTTTTTAGAGGTCTAGCAGCCCAAAATGAAAATGCTTTCCGATTTTGTATCATCAGTCTGCTGTTGTATGCAAATTATGAGTATCCTTTAACAAGTTTTAAAGATTTTATAGGTAATTGAAAATTTTGACTTAAGTCTAAGATTGTTTCATGACCCCGGGGCCTGATCACACTTCTTATCCTTCTCGCTCATGTAATTCATTTCACAAAACAATGATATTTAAATTTGAATTTTCAACGCACGTTACTATAGTAATCTAAAATTTAGGAAATACTTAAAAAATAAATGTGACATCCACTTATCTATTAAAAGTATACCTAGGTTTAAAACTATGAAGTTGCTCAGAATATGTTATTGCATGCCTATATTACTGACAGGGAACATTTCTACATAAATATAGGAACTTAAAAATAAAAACTGCAATTCTCCTTATTACACCAACATTGGTACATTTAATCTCCTTCAGAGTAATGGTGATTTGCAAGTGCGATGTACAGTTATTAGTGCAAATATATATAACCCTTTGCAGTGAGTTGGCATCACAGTAATTAAATTTTGTTTAATGTTATATAACTTTCACGTTCATTTGAAATTTAACTTTATAAGAAATTTTAGATATTATAAAAATAGTTATGTTATGTAGAACATTCACTATACAGTTTGTAACCTTACTTGCACAAGACGTTTTATCGGCCATAACACTAAATCCTGGACGACATGCACATTGAAATGATCCATTGAGGTTCATACAGTCTTGTTCACATGGAGAAGTTTTCAATGCACATTCGTCAATATCTGAAATGAGATTTATATTTTGCATTGCAAAACCATGACGGTAAAAGAAGATTAATCTTAGAAAGTGGCATAGTCTAGAATTTGCATAATATAAAATTTTGACCTTAACTCCGTTTTGCAATATACGAGTGGAAATACCTGTGCAGTTTTTTCCATTAGTTGTAAGCATATACCCAGATGGGCAGAAACATTGAGTCATTCCATTTATTTCGCTGCAATCGTATTCACATTGCAGCTCAGAACCACAAACTTTGTTGTCTGAAGAAAAAAAAATATATTATAACATATATCTAATGATTTAAAGAAATTCCTCATTCCATAAATAAGTAAAACGAAGAAAATGTTTTTAATTTGGAAAGTTTTATATCAATATAATTTGAACTTTTATAGTAAAACAAAAAATTAAATATAAGAATTTAAAAGTAAATGACTCCATTAATAAAACCATTCAAAAATGAAACATTTTTTATCACAACCACATGATTTTACAAATTTCAAGGAGGAAATGAATCATACATTTCAAAATCCTGATTCTAGTTCTAGTAATAATGAATATCAGCTGCTATAATTATATATTCAAATAGACACTAACTTCACTGGTTACTTTTTTAAGTTTACTTGAATTTGCTTTGTTATGTATCATCTAACTGCTTTTATGTGTGTTAAACTATATCTTTGATAAGTATATATACACGATTGAATACTAAATAGATATTTTATTTACAATATGTGTTCCATTTACTGAAGATTTTTAATGATAGTTTTTGCTTATTTATCGAAATGAAATATCCACAACGATATATATAATGTATTTTACCCATTCTTTTTCTGTTGCTATAAATCTGTGATTAAATATTTAACAAAAATATCTTTCCAGGGAACTCCTGGCACCCCCAGATTAACAGAGGGCTTTAGTGGAAATTGCCTCAATATTTTGTATATGGTATTTAGAAAAAAAAATATGATTTTAAAAAAATGATGATACCTTTCTTATTGCAAGTAATATTGTCCTTATTTAGATTGAAGCCTGGGTGACACATACAAAGATAGGATCCTGGAGTGTTTGTACATAAATGTTCACATTCAGAATGCCCTTCAAGGCACTCGTTAATATCTGGAATATAAAACAAAACATGGGGAATTAAAATTACATAAGCATCAAGATGTTTCATATATTAAAAAGAAACACATATTTGAATTTCAAAAATTTCCATTTAAATAATAAAATGAATCATGGAGTCTTTTTTTAATTTGTTGAATGCATGGAATTAGCACTATTTTCAAAACTCCATGAGGATCTGACCGATTCGAAAAAAGATTCATCATCTCAACTCCCCTATTTTCGTACACAAATTTTAATATTTCTTCTTACGATACACAAGAACTTACCGTTACACTTGTTGTCCAGTTTTCTGTATCCCTTTTTACAGTTACAGATGTAACCCCCGTCCATATTTTCACACGTCTCTTTTGTCTCATTACAAGTGTTCAGATCAGGCCTTGCACATTCGTCGACATCTTAAATCAATCACGTTAAATTCAAGAACAAGAAATATGATATTACATGTATACACGAATTTCATCTTTCGTAGAGAATTTATTCTTTAGGTCCTTTTTAAAATATAATATCACACAAAATATCTCAATTTTATGAATTTTAAGAATAAAACTCCTTCTTATATTCCGGTCGCCCTCGTGGCGCAGTGGTTAGAGCGTCTGCTCTAGAGTCGCGAAGTAAGGCGTCAATCCTTACGTCGCGGGTTCGAATCCCACTGCGGGACGTGGAGACCGGTCCTTCGGGTGAGACCGTATAAACCGAGGCCCCGTGTCGCAGTAGGTGCTGGCACGAAAAAGATCCCTCACTGCTCAAAGGCCCTAAGTGCCGAGCATAGGACAAAATTTGTAGCCCTCCACCGGCAAGTGGTGGCGTCTCCATATGAGTGAAAAATTCTCGAGAGGGACGTTAAACAATATACAATCAATCAATCTTCTATTCCGCATAAATGTATATAAAAGGACATTATTTTAAAAAATATTTTGAACATTTTTTAAGTTACTTAAAAAGATTCTTCAATTAATTTTATTTTAAGTGGGAAATTTAAATACGTACCTTGACATTTATTATCAATGTCTTTATAACCACGCGGACATTCAGTGCAGTTATATCCACGACCTAGTCTGATCTCTTCGTCAGGGGTCAGATCGGTACAGTTTCTACCCAGAGGACAGGGAAATTCCAGGCAGGCGTCGGTATCCCTCTCACAGTTCTCGCCTATAAAGTCATATTGAAATTTAAACATCTGTCTGGTATTTACGAGTAATTTCGGATTGCACAAGGATACATTGGAACAGATATTTTGAAAACATGTTGAAGGGTTGAGCGAAAAAAAATTACATGTTAAATAATAAATCGATGAAGTGTAACTTTTATGTTTTTTATTTCAAGTAGAAGAAAAGATTTTTTTAAAAAAAATTGTTTTCATTTTAGTAAATACCGGAATATCCTCTATGACAGCTACAGACTGCTTTGTGAAATCGGTCATTTTCTGTAGGTATGACATTGTCATAATTACAAACTCCATGGTCACCACACCCAGAACACGATATTATAGAGATATCTAATGAAGGAGACTGTGCCCCCATGTCATCTATTGCTACAATGCTAAAACAGAAGGAAAGAGAATAGATTTAGATTTAGATTAGCATTTAAGATGTACCCGTCTTCAACATATAATTCATGTATCTATACCATTGTTTCACAACATAGTACATGTACATGTTAGATTTCTAACTCAATATTCCTCTTTGTAAATTACTATAATAGTTTTGATTAAATAAAATATGTCTTAAAACATTTCATTTTTTTCTTATTACAAATTATTAGCCAAATACCTGAATATGCTGTAATTACAAAGACTTATGATCCAAGTTTTGTTTGGAGAGTATCCGATGTTGATACCCATCCGATTTACCTGATTTCAGAGACATTGCTGTTTGAAGGCTTCCATCTTGCTATTCCAGTTTCATTGTCAAAATCAAAATCATCGGGTTGTTTCCAAAGTTTATATGTCGGTTTCTCTTTACCGTCGTCGGAAGCATTAAATATCAATTCCACTTCTTTGTTGACTTCGACATTAATTGTAACATTCCCTGATATTCGTGGTGTTTCGTTTTCTAACAAAACAAAATCTATAAGCTGTAGAATTGTAAACTTGAATATTACGCAAACATCAGTTCAGATTCTTTGAAATATTAAAAAAAGAAAAACAACAAGAAAATTTCAACAGATTATTTGTTGCAATTTTATTCGTGTTACCTATGACCTGTACATCTGTCTTCGAATCCTTTTCCTTGTTACCGGAGTTTTCAGCCAATTTAATATCACCTGTTGCAAGGTAATCTGATATACAAGCTTGAGAAGGGTTAGGTCCACATTTTTGTTTTGCTTCAATCAGTCGGCTTTCATCAACTTCATCAGTAAAAAGTGGCACAAACTCGGGATGAGTAAAGTTTTTGAAAGTAAATCCATCCTCATATTGAAATAAAGACTGTTCGTTAACAGACCCTTGGAATGAAATCATGATACAAAATTATCAATATCAACAAGGATAAAAGATAAATTTTATTTTATTTTTTGTTGTTGTTGTCGATTAATATAATTAAAACTTACAAACTTGCCCGAAATTGTAGTAGATTAGCCTTTCGGTGCTTGTTGCATTCTCTCCTAATAAGGTTCCATTCGGGAGAATAAAGTCATTTGTCTTGTTTCCATCAAAGTTCCCCATCAGACCTATCGTTAGTCCTTTGTATTTTTTGTTTACAAGAGTTTCACAAATCAAAAACCGTTTTCCAAGACTTATTTTTATTATTATATCTGAAATAACAAATAAGATTATGCATGATTACACGTGAAAAATGCAATAAAGTATCGTTGGTAACTTTAAAGTAGCTGACACTCACCTGGTTTGAGGAATACTGCTGAGATCGTCTGGTTTTCCCATTGAAGTGATATGTTTGGTGTTCTGTATACATAGCTAGCGTTTCTAAATTTTGTTGTCAGGTCCACCCCATTAGCTCGAATAATCATTTCTGAAACAGTTAAACAACATAGATAAATCGTAAATAGTTCTTTGCTAAAATCAATGAAAAATGAGTTAAAAGTTTTCATTTCAAAACGTTGTTTTAATATGAGAAAGCTAAGGAGTTAAACTATGACATTAAAAAAATGACATTAGAATTGATCATTAATGACTTCTCTTATATATAACCTGAGAAAATATCAAAATGTTAAGGATGTAAATATATCTTATTTACTTTTCTGAAATTTATTTGCATTGAAATTTATTAGATTTATTATCAATATTTTTTATAAATGTCACCAAAGTTCTATGTTTATTATTTGAACATATCATATGCTTCCTTTGATTGTAGGTAACACTTAATAATTGGACAGAAAAACACTTAATAATTGCACAGAAAAATTAACAGCACCCATGCATGCTGGAGAAATATGTTTTTTTTTTCTAACGAAGTAAAAGAATTTTAATTTATTTTCATATCTGTATAAAAAAATAAATGCATTAGGATTAAATTTGTTTGGTATTTTACACTTAATATATACGTAATTCATTGATTGAAATTTATATTGCAGTTGAAATACATGTATATACAAATGGTTTAAAAAGCCATTTGTACAAGTTAATAGGCTTTAACGTATCGTTTCGGTCAGGGAAGAGGTTCTTAATCAGAAATAAACGAAAAACAAAACCTTTTGGATAATGTTGATCTTAAGCATTGCATATGCACGAAGTCTAATATTAATGTTATAATGATTATCTAATAAGAAAACGTTATACATTTAGGACATATCTCTTACATATGCATTATCAAAAAATCCTTTCAAAATTTGATATGCATGCCAATGATTTGTCTATTCTCGTATAACAATTGAACAAAATCCGTCAGTAATATTTATGAATGATACAGCATAAATACATGTGAAATAAGTAAATACCTTTTTTGTTTCGGGACATTTCAATCTGCACTTTTGAACCCGTTTGGTCTTTGGCGGCAAAAGCACTAAAAATTGTTGCATTGATAGAAGTTCCATTTTCAGCTGTAGCAAGCTCAGTCCGGGCCTGAAGGTCAAAGATTGTTGTGCTAGTGTTTATTTTTATCATGGTGTACTCCCCGTAACCATTAAATGTGTAGTCTTTGCCGTCAAGTGTAGTAATATGAGGGTCGCCAAAATTAATTCCTAGATTAAAATAATTAAACACCTAACACATACTTGAGAATAATGATTCTGATCGTTTTATCATGAATTTAATTGTATAATATGACACCAAGATTTATTCCATGATTTTAAATACTACATTTTATACACCTACATCGGAAATGTTTCAACAACTGAGATGGATGCCAATTGATGATTATTTTACGTATAGAACTGTCATCCTTGTTTTTAAAGTCTTTAAAGGATTAACCCCAGATTATTTAGATGCTTTTAAATTTGTACATGAAATAAACAACAGATCTACAAGATTGAGTCAAAGCAATTCATTGTATATTCCAAGGGCAAAAACAGAATATTATAGAAGATCTTTTACAATTTACGGTTCTCAGCTATGGAATAAATTGCCAGAATTTTTAAAGAATTGTCCATCATTGCAAAGTTTTAAATCAGCATATATAAGAAATTATCTCCAGTCTTCAAACTAATAATGTTAATCACATAGATCATACTTCTGATGTTTTTAGACGCAGCTTAGACAAACCATCTGTAAATATTGATTTTTATATTCTATTCGCTCTATATTTATATGTTTCTGTACATAATCTTCTGTCTGTACAAATGTTTTCAGGACCACAATGTGAACTAGTTGTTAACTAATTGTGCCATCCTGTATAAATAAAGGATATTATTATTATTATTCATAAGCATTCCATGAACAGTATTTATGTCCGTAAACAGAATTCATTTGTATCCAGTCATATTTTTCAAGTATATCTGAAAAAATTTATCGTGAAAATACCAAAAACTGTTTGTGCTTTTAACTAGAATTCATTCACGAAAATTCAAATGCTGAGAATGCAAAGGGTGCATTGTTTTTAAGGAGACTTAAAATCATGAAATATTTATGAAAATTAAATACTTTAGAATGAAAATTATTTTTGAAAATACGGATGGAAAATTATTCAAATACAAGTATATTAACGGCAAATATAAAAATGAAATTTGAAGATCCAAATACAAATTGAGAAGATTGAATATTACAATGTTAACATTTTAGCATCGTCATTGTTTTCTTTTCCATCTGCAATCAATCAGTTTCCTTTTAATGATTTTTTTAAATCCTAAAAACCAACTGAACGCATTTTCTGAAACAAAAGTTTTTTTCCATTGTATAGGCTTAATATTTGCAAAATTTTACCTCCTAGGCTCGCAATTAACATTGACACTTGTCGTTATTTTATTCATTAATTACTGTCCATGTATATTTTTTTGCAATTGTTTCTTTATTATGTTTATTTTGATGAGATTTTAGAAAAGATACTAATACATGAAGTTGACTATCTTTTGGTGCGAATAATACCAATGAATATATTTTAAATTTGCTATATGTTACAGTGAAAGATAACAAATACATGTACCAGGTTGAAAAGGTGACCTCAGGTAGCAACGTGGAATAGGACGAACTTCATAGTACAAGTCACAATGTCCTGTTTTACAACACTGGTTTTTTGGTTTCAAATCAAAATTATTGTACTTGTATCTTTCAAAAAACGGGTTGAAAAGCAGCACAGTACCACCTAATGGCATAACACGGGCTAAAGGACCTAAATGTTCCGTGTCGGCGTACATCTTAAAGCAACATTCCTAAAAATACAAAACTATACTTTTACAAGTACACAAGACGTAGAGGATTATATTGTTAAAACATAAGTATATTGTCAGAAGATTGTTTTATTTATTTAAAGAAATGAAAGATTAAAATCCAAAATCTGAGTATATATTTTCAAAGAACAAAATAGTTTACCACATTCATCCCGAGAGTCATAGAGGCATAGCACAGCATTCGATTTTTGTTGTCAAATCTGTTAATGGTGAACCGTGGATCAAACCTCAGCAAGCGGGGATCACACGGACATTTCAGTTCTTCTTTTGTGGCTAATAGCTTCTCATAAATACGGTTTTCAACATTATGTGAATACCACAAGTAACATTCTTTTTCATCCTTCTGTGATTTAACTCCGTCTGTCATCTTATAAATCCAGAAACCACGTCGATTTTCTTTTGAATAAAAAAGAAGTGTGGGAAAAAAATGTTTTTACATAGGACACAGTAATTTTGTTTCAATAAAAATTCGCTACTCATCTTCTCACCATATACATAATATATACATCAAAGAATGTGTTGATACATGAAGTAAAATGTACAATTTATTCCATATTATCATGTAAACCCCTCCTCTATTATAAAAAGAAGCTTGCATATAATTATTATATATTAGATATTATATCTTTTTTTATTCAATGCACTTACCTTAAGAATAATTTTTGTTTGAATCAAAAAGTGAGCTTTATGAAAATAATATTGAAGTTGCCCTAAATAACTAGTTAATAACATTATTAATAATTGAAAAAGCGAAATAGTTAAATAAATGAAAAAAAATAATACAAAAATTAAATTAAAAAACAAAATATGGAGCGTTGTAAGGACGAACACACATTAATCTACTGGTATTCAGTGTATCAAAGCATTAATGCCATAGACTCAATTTTATTTGGACATTGAAAAGGTTGCAAGTTTACAAACATATTTCCTGATAATTCGCGATGTCAGATGGAGTAGATTTTCACACTGGTGGAGAATTTTGACTTTGGTTATCTGATAGTTTTAAATAATGGAATTCATTAAATAATTTAATTATTTTTACTTCAGATAATTTAATTTTCGTTGCGGTTTGTAAAGAATAAAGTACTCCAAGCCAGGTTATGTAGTATACATGTAACTTGGGTTGCTATTTAATTCATTTCCTGTATAAATACTGTTAAAAAAAAAAATTTATTATCTAAAATGTAATCCATGCATGTATTTATATCCAGAACATCATTTATATCAAAACTTTGTTGACAGTATCATAAAATCAGAAATATCGTATTGAATAAAGGGCAGTCATTACAATCCATCCAATTTACACACTTCGATAATTTGCAATGCTTTCTTGAATATGTGCTTTGAAAAATTATGTCAACTAAACCTGCAAAATCCTATTGGTAATGTTTCCTTTACAGCATTTGTTGCGATAAGTTGACAAATGATGTATTGACATGGAGATTTCCCTAATTTTATCAGGTTAAACAGTTATTAAAACAAAATTCTAGGAGAAATTAGGGAATAACTATCTTTTAATTTGGTATTTTCGACCGGTAATATTGATTTCACGGTCGCAAACTGAGTTTTACCGGCGACTCGTTTAATAAAGTTGGTAGTACCCAGATACAATTAGTACCCACCTGCTAAATTAATAAAACCTTCACGTAAACATTAAACATATAAACAATTTTCATACTTGTATTTCCTGGCATTATGCTCATTTGAAAAGCTCTTTTGTGGTTTGTGAGAGAGTTCTTAACATAAAAATGTTTATAGCGGTATCCGATGGAAATATCCCGATTCCGTTGCGCTTTTACATTGACATCAATGTAGTTAAAAACTGTGAAGGTATTCTCTCCATCTGTTATAAGGAAACATTGGAGTGTGACTTTCTGCAAAAAAAATATATATATATATATATTAAAAAAAAGGGTAAAAAGAAAACACAAAAATCCTCAGTTAAGCTTTAGCGCTTTCATATTCAATCTTCAGAAGCTTACAATAGTATCATAGTAACAGTGATTATGACGTCATGTTAAGCGGAACGTTAAAAGTCTATTATGACGTCATAGATACAATATGACAAAAGTACGGGGAAATCACAAGTAATTTATAAAACACTATTAAGTTTTGGCTGAAAAATACTAATAAAATGTTTTTCTTTTTCCCGTCTTTGGATATCAGTGGCACAACTGAGTTTATAGAAAGGGAAAATTTTGAATTGTTTTTTACCACACGCCTCCAGGTGTGAACTTAATTGAATTTGTCTGTATTCGGGTGTACTAATGTGTTGCTTATGTACACGTACACGGGCACGGAGAGTGTTGCCGGTTTCACCAATATAATATTCCTTGCATCCCGGACATGTGATGACATAAATGACATTTTTTGTATCGCATGACATGTTTTCTTTAACTCTAAATTCACGCCCATTGAAATTATAGCTGGTCCCTTCTGTAATGTATTCACATGTACCGCATCGAGGGTCCCTACACTTAGAGACTGTATAAGTATGGTCGTTGAATTTGGAAGAACAAAGTATTCTCTTTAGGTTTTTGGGTTGGCGTTTACTGTTGATAAAACGACAATTCTTGTATACGTTTTTTGTTTGTTCGTCCTCTCTAAGTACGTTGTTCAATTCATGAATAATTGAACTCACGTTTTGATTTCTCGGGTTATGCGTGTGCACAAATGGAATTATTTCAACGTCATTCGCACGTCGTATGTTTAAAAGTAACTGACTTCTATCGCACTCCTTGGCTTTCTTTATACCATTATCTACAAGTTGTTCTGGATATTTTTGGTTTAATAAATACAATTTTAATTCCTCCAGTCGAATATCCCTGATATTGGTATTACTCACAATGGTGCATATCCTTCTTGCGAGGTTATATGGTATAGCTGTTTTAGTGTGATGGGGATGGCTTGATCCAAAATGCAGATATTGGTGTGTGTCGGTTGGTTTATAGTAAATATCCGTATTTAAGCTGGTATTATCCTTTGTTACAAGAACATCGAGGAATGGCATTTGCAAATCATCTGTTTCCATCGTGAATTTGATATCCGAATTCATTTGGTTAAGTAGATCATAAAACTCCGTTAGTTTATCGACATCCTCCTCCCATAAGATAAAACAATCGTCTAAAAATCTTTTCCATTTAGACCGTATTTTGTTTGCAGATTCTATCCCCCACAACGTACACAGTTTATCATGTAATTTATGTTCTAGATAACCAAGGGTTAATGTTGCATAGGTAGGTGCGACTTTTGTCCCCATTGCTGTTCCCTTAATTTGGAGGTAATGATGGTCTGCAAACTCAAACGTATTGTTATCTAGAACTAATTTTAGAGCCTCTAGGATGAAGTCCCGTTGAAACCTGTTGTTTAGAACATCGGGATAATTTTCAGTCCAGAATTTGACAGCTAGCAATCCCAATTCTGTAGGAATATTTGTATACAAACTTACAACATCCAGTGTGACAAGTTTGGTGTTAGAGGTGACATGAGTAGGTAAATGATTTATAAAATCAAGATCGTCTCTCACAAAGCTGGATACTTTTTGACAATATGGTTTTAAAAGTATATCCAATAAATGACTCAGTCTTTGCGTTGAAGAGTTCGGTCCTCCTACAATTGGTCTGAAGCTTAAATCAGCGGGATCATCACATGTAATACATATACTATTTTGCTCTTTTATGGCATCCTTTATAATTTTAGACTTGTGCACTTTAGGTAAACCATAGAATTGACTCTCTCGGAATTCAAAGTTTGTCAGGTAGTCCTTTTCCTTATCTGTTAAACCCTCCGATAGTGGTCCATATACTAAGTTTTTTATTTTTGTAATTGTTTTCTTCTCATGACAGTTGCGCAATTTTTCATAAAAATTATTGTCTTGCAACATTTGTAAAATTTTACTTTTGTAAAAATCCTTATTCATAAGGACGACTCCGCCTCCTTTATCGGCCTCTTTGATTATGATGGTAGGGTCATCGCTGAGGTTTTTAAGAGCCTTTTCTTCTTCCTTAGAAAGGTTTGGTTTAATAGTCCTGGGTTTATTTGGGAAATGAATATTTTCCAATGTGTCGCAAACAGCATCCAAAGTTTTATTTCTTCCTCGTTTTGGGTTAAACTTGGATTTGTTTCTTACAAGGTCTGTTTCTTCTGCGTCTGTAGACTCGGAATCAGATTCACTGGTATCACTTTCATGAAAATATTCACGTAGCCTGAGTCGCCGAGTATAAGCTTTTATATCCGTTTTAAGCTCTTGATTATTTACTTGAGGCGTAGGGGTGTATTTTAGACCCTTAGACAGTAACTTGATTTCGGAATCCGTTAGTTGTCTATGGGAAAGATTAAATATTTTTGGTTCCATCTTAATTACATTCTTGGACGTGTCCCCGGCATTGCTGTTGCTTATAATTGTGGCATTTGATTTTTGTATCTTTGACCTTGGTTCATTTTGCCTCCTCCTAAAAAATACTTGTGTACCCCTCTTCCGATGTATGTTGTTTTTTCGTTTCTGTAAAAGTTTGGTAGTTGTTTATTTGTACCACTTCCTCGGTGATTTTTATGCTTACCGTTATTGTCCCGATTCTGTATGTCTCTGTGCTGCTTAGGAAATGGTCAGTTTTGTGAAATGGCTGAACGAGAACTGTAACTCATGTGTTTAGAGTTCTCCTGTTGATTCATCCTTTTATATTTTCGTTTCCCCGAAAATGTATTCATTGCTTTTGTTGCATTTTCCATAGGAAGATCCACAGTTTCTGTAGAATTATTTGTTGAGTTGTTTCTAACGGCGGACGCGTAACTTTTCCTAGAAACTTGTTTATTGGACAATTGCTGTAGTCTTGTGTTTTTAGGTTTAGTAAGTTCCTTACCGTAATTCTTTTCATAATCCAAAAGCCAGGTTTCTGTATATCTCCATCTGTTGTATGAGAATTGTTCTTCCTTTAGGCATTCAGATTTCCACATATCTTGAAGTATTTCTAATATTCTGCCGTATGCTTTAGTTTTCAGTATGCGTTCCATTTCTAGGTCAATGGACATAACTTTTTTATGGTTGTTTTCTGCCCTCATTCTGAGTATCTTTATTTCCCCTATCACACGGTTCTTAGCTGTCTCAATTCTGACATTTGTTTGTTCTACTGGTTCTCCCCGAATTGGCTTGATTCTGAATTTCCTAGGGATTACGGGATTTTCCAGGTTTACCCATTTTTCGTAATATTCTGCGCGGTTGGCATTACTTATTTGTTTAAAGTAGGTTTGTTTCCTGGAGTTGAGAGTTTGCATCCAACTTACTTTGATCCTTTGTTTAATTCTGGTTGCTTCTTTTTGCAAAGCAAGTTCATTAACTTCCCTCTGTATCAATTGAGTTGGAGACTGATATGAGCTTACCTCAAAATTTGGCGTTGGCACGGTTTTCAAATTTGTTTCCTCTGCATCCACAAAGTGATTTAAATCAAAATTTGAATTGAGTTGATGCGTGGGTAGTAAATTACTACAAACCGCAATTAAATCTTGAAGAAGTTGATTTGTTACATCTGTTTTCTTTAAAAGTTCCGCTAACAAAATGTCACTGTCAAGATCCTTTCGTTCTTCATATGTAGAATTTTGTGATTCCATCTCGATCACTGGTTAGGTATATCCAAAATTTAAATAATGTCTCAGTAATCGGATAACAATATTAAAAAAAGTTAAAAAGAAAACACAGAAATCCTCAGTTAAGCTTTAGCGCTTTCATATTCAATCTTCAGAAGCTTACAATAGTATCATAGTAACAGTGATTATGACGTCATGTTAAGATATAAAAGCTTATACTCGGCGACTCAGGCTACGTGAATATTTTCATGAAAGTGATACCAGTGAATCTGATTCCGAGTCTACAGACGCAGAAGAAACAGACCTTGTAAGAAACAAATCCAAGTTTAACCCAAAACGAGGAAGAAATAAAACTTTGGATGCTGTTTGCGACACATTGGAAAATATTCATTTCCCAAATAAACCCAGGACTATTAAACCAAACCTTTCTAAGGAAGAAGAAAAGGCTCTTAAAAACCTCAGCGATGACCCTACCATCATAATCAAAGAGGCCGATAAAGGAGGCGGAGTCGTCCTTATGAATAAGGATTTTTACAAAAGTAAAATTTTACAAATGTTGCAAGACAATAATTTTTATGAAAAATTGCGCAACTGTCATGAGAAGAAAACAATTACAAAAATAAAAAACTTAGTATATGGACCACTATCGGAGGGTTTAACAGATAAGGAAAAGGACTACCTGACAAACTTTGAATTCCGAGAGAGTCAATTCTATGGTTTACCTAAAGTGCACAAGTCTAAAATTATAAAGGATGCCATAAAAGAGCAAAATAGTATATGTATTACATGTGATGATCCCGCTGATTTAAGCTTCAGACCAATTGTAGGAGGACCGAACTCTTCAACGCAAAGACTGAGTCATTTATTGGATATACTTTTAAAACCATATTGTCAAAAAGTATCCAGCTTTGTGAGAGACGATCTTGATTTTATAAATCATTTACCTACTCATGTCACCTCTAACACCAAACTTGTCACACTGGATGTTGTAAGTTTGTATACAAATATTCCTACAGAATTGGGATTGCTAGCTGTCAAATTCTGGACTGAAAATTATCCCGATGTTCTAAACAACAGGTTTCAACGGGACTTCATCCTAGAGGCTCTAAAATTAGTTCTAGATAACAATACGTTTGAGTTTGCAGACCATCATTACCTCCAAATTAAGGGAACAGCAATGGGGACAAAAGTCGCACCTACCTATGCAACATTAACCCTTGGTTATCTAGAACATAAATTACATGATAAACTGTGTACGTTGTGGGGGATAGAATCTGCAAACAAAATACGGTCTAAATGGAAAAGATTTTTAGACGATTGTTTTATCTTATGGGAGGAGGATGTCGATAAACTAACGGAGTTTTATGATCTACTTAACCAAATGAATTCGGATATCAAATTCACGATGGAAACAGATGATTTGCAAATGCCATTCCTCGATGTTCTTGTAACAAAGGATAATACCAGCTTAAATACGGATATTTACTATAAACCAACCGACACACACCAATATCTGCATTTTGGATCAAGCCATCCCCATCACACTAAAACAGCTATACCATATAACCTCGCAAGAAGGATATGCACCATTGTGAGTAATACCAATATCAGGGATATTCGACTGGAGGAATTAAAATTGTATTTATTAAACCAAAAATATCCAGAACAACTTGTAGATAATGGTATAAAGAAAGCCAAGGAGTGCGATAGAAGTCAGTTACTTTTAAACATACGACGTGCGAATGACGTTGAAATAATTCCATTTGTGCACACGCATAACCCGAGAAATCAAAACGTGAGTTCAATTATTCATGAATTGAACAACGTACTTAGAGAGGACGAACAAACAAAAACGTATACAAGAATTGTCGTTTTATCAACAGTAAACGCCAACCCAAAAACCTAAAGAGAATACTTTGTTCTTCCAAATTCAACGACCATACTTATACAGTCTCTAAGTGTAGGGACCCTCGATGCGGTACATGTGAATACATTACAGAAGGGACCAGCTATAATTTCAATGGGCGTGAATTTAGAGTTAAAGAAAACATGTCATGCGATACAAAAAATGTCATTTATGTCATCACATGTCCGGGATGCAAGGAATATTATATTGGTGAAACCGGCAACACTCTCCGTGCCCGTGTACGTGTACATAAGCAACACATTAGTACACCCGAATACAGACAAATTCAATTAAGTTCACACCTGGAGGCGTGTGGTAAAAAACAATTCAAAATTTTCCCTTTCTATAAACTCAGTTGTGCCACTGATATCCAGAGACGGGAAAAAGAAAAACATTTTATTAGTATTTTTCAGCCAAAACTTAATAGTGTTTTATAAATTACTTGTGATTTCCTCGTACTTTTGTCATATAGTATCTATGACGTCATAATAGACATTAAATGTTCCGTTTAACATGACGTCATAATCACTGTTACTATTGTAAGCTTCTGAAGATGAAAGCGCTAAAGCTTAACTGAGGATTTTTGTGTTTTCTTGTTACCCCTTTTTTTTAATATTGTTATCCGATTACTGAGACATTATTTAAATTTTGGATATATATATATATATATATATATATATATATATATATATATATATATATATATATATATATATATATATATATATATATATATATAAGCGTTCATTTATTGTCAATTAGACTCTTAAGGACAGACGCAATGTACCTTACCTACTGATAATTTTTCAAGGTAATCTAAATGTAAACTTATAATACCATTACATGGTCTTAGACAAAAAATCAGCATGCCTTACCAGGGTTTTGAAAAGATATCAAATTTTGAAAATTTTTACCATATTCAAAGAAAAATTTACAAAAATTGCAAAACATAAACTCAACATTTTTTTTCATCGAAAATTGTTTTAGAAGAGGTGTCCATATATAGACATTAAAAATATTGCACACAGGTCCTTCCCTTAGTGGATCTCTTCAACTTCAGGAAAGAATAAAAAAAAAGTTCAAACTACGTTGCGTATGACCTTAAGGAAAAACATGTAAATTGACAATGATTTGATATTTACCCTTTCCTTGTATCCATACAGTGTCATATTTTCCCATGTTACTTTTACGAGCCACGTGGCTTTAAAATCTTTCAAGTCCCGGAAATTGCCGATAATAATATCATCTGCTTTCTCCATAAATTGTGAATCCACGCTGTTTACCGTAGATCCCCTTTTAAAACAATTAATAAATAATTATTATTTATTTCAATTACATTTGTTTTTTTTAAAAAAATAGATTGATTTTTACACTTTAGATTTTAAATAATATTTCAGCTCAGTTTAAGTTGCAGTTTACAAGTGCATATATTCTTGAATGTTAAGTATAAGTAATATTTTAGAAAAAAAAACCCTTTCACCTTTTATAGGCTCTGTAGTACACTTTTCCAACTCCATCTGACTTTAAATCCGTCCAAAATGGACAAATAATTCGTTTTTCTTTAATTTTACTTGAGTCCATTTCGAACACAGACAGGCTGTTAAAGTTTTCACCAAGTCCTATAATGCCGTTGGATCCAATCTAAAATAGGTTATTGTTGTAAGAAAATCTAATCATTAATGTATAATTTTTATAATGATAACCAGTTTATTAGATGCCTAATCAAGTTAAAATGTTGCAGCCATGCCGTTTTGCAAACAAACAAATAAATGCTTTAAGGAACACTTATTTCAAAAAGATGCAAAGTCATTATTTACACATTGAAGTATAATAATCATGTTCTTTACACCTACATAAACTGTATTGAAGCCACCATCAGACCCATCTCCAACATACACAGTGGTGGGGGACCTTAGAGGACCTCTTGTTTCATCATCACCCATAAAAACTTCATCATCAGTACCATACGGCATATACGCCTTTCCTGTGTACTGAGCTAAAACATAAGTACATGTTATTTGAAAAAAAAAACTTCAGAATCAAAATCTAAGTATTATTGGTAACTATTTTTTTCCAACGCCTGTTTCATGTTTAATAGAACATTGTACCAAAGAACTTACTTTGATCTACAGTTCTGGAGTTAACGATTGTTTTCTTATATATATTTTATATGCATAATATTTTCTCTTACCCAAAGCTCGACAGTTTGAGCTTTATCGCCTTTTTCCTTGGAGTTGAGAGTTCCAAAACTTAATGTAAAGGAAGTGTGTGCTTCATTTTGATGTCTTTGTATACTCATGCACACTTTTCTAAAACACTTTTGCATAAACCAAGCATCTAGAATATACGTCTAGTATTTGTTGAATATATTTTTCTTTGATTTATACAAGAATTTTCATCAATTGATAACTTTTCAAAACCCGTGATTACATGTACGTATGATGATTATTTTTTTTTGTCTACGAACATCTCATGGCACTATAATCTTAAAAAAGGAATACCTGGAAAAATTATCAGTAGGTAAGGTATGTTGTATATGTCCTTAAGGGGTACTGTACTTCGTGTACTTATTTTCATTTTTATATTTTTTACCAAAGGACACTTCGTAATTTAGTAGCAAATAATTTTGGTTTTTTTTTATTTATTTCTTCGTTGTAAAAAAAAAATTCAAAACCGCGACGTATAATCACCTCCTTACTTCGCGATTCTAGAGCAGTCGCTGTAACCACTGCGCCACGCGGGCGACCCGATGAATTAAAACAACAGGCATACTTACCGTAATTGAGAATTGTTATAGACGCATGTGCTTTCTGTCATTGCTGATTGATCGTTAACTTATACGATGCATACTGTTGCTACTGATACTTACTACTGATAGATTTATGCTGAAGTTTTGTTTACAACAGATAAGTTTTTATCGAATATTTATATTGATAGATTTTGTACACTTTGTTTTTATTTTATATGGCTTATATAATATATATAAAGCACAAAGAAATTCACTTTTACATGGATACCCACTTCCGCCCCAGCCCGGGGTTGAACAATCCTCTGTTAAAACTAATGTCCAAATAACTGTATCTCACTTCTATTCTCAATGACCGTGTAGTGTAGGACAGCGCCGCGAGAATTCCATCGGCATCGAAAGCAAGTTTTTTGACTTGCCTAGATAGCCGAGCGGTCTAGCGCGCTGTTCCTGCACTGCTAGGAGACAGATTCCGAAAGCCGAGAGTTCAACCCCGGGCTGGGGCGGAAGTGGGTATCCATGTTAAAGTGAATTTCTTTGTGCTTTCTATATTAATATTTCTTCACTTAGGGCTGTTATGTTAGTTTAAGAGTTGTTGTTAAATGTGCTTTATATATATATATATATATATATATATATATATATATATATATATATATATATATATATATATATATATATATTAGAAGTATTACCTATATTAAGTGACTTATATGCACATTCATTTATTGGTTTACGTACATTCCTCTGTTAGTATCCAGTCGTATGATGGGAGGCTTTCCTTTGAGCCGTAAGAAGCATAATTGGTGGAATATCCGTAACTTATCGCTGTAATGGTTACGTTGTACTGAGTATTAGGCAGTAGCAGTACACCCCAGTGAATTTCTGGTTCATATCCCGTTGTTTCCTGACTACGACCATCAATTGTCACTCTGTAGCGGTTTACGAAGGAATTCTTTCCGGATTTTTCCCATCGTAAGTACAAGTAGTCAGCGGAACGATTACAAAGATTTTGAAGTAGTTGCCCAGGTTTGACAGGATCTGTATCGATAAATCAACAAAATTAAAAAATAGTCCTGACATAAGTATATGAAACAAGATGTGTTTGTAAAACACTGATGCCCCCGTATGGAAACATAGCAAAGATTAAGCTTTTCTTAAACGCAAATTTAATTAATTGGTACCAAAAGTAGGGTATTCTCACTGGAAAACAATTGTGAAATTTGAAAGTAAGCTAATGTTAAAGTTTTAATAATAATTACAAAAATCTCCAAGGTCAAGGTCAAAAGGTCAATGTAATCAGTATCAAATGAAAGGTCTTGCCACATAAATACTTTTGTACAGCATGAAAGCCCTAGCCCTAACCGTTCAGAAGGTATGGTCAACGTTCAATTTCTTAAAAAGTAGGTCAAACTCCAAGGTCAAGGTCAAAGGGTCAAAGTTATTGTTATCAAATGAAAGGTCTTGTCATAATGATCAAATATGTAAAGTATGAAAGCACTGGCCCTAACTCTTTAAAAGTTATGGCTAAGGTTTGCTTTTTTAAAGTAGGTCAATCTCAAAGGTCAAGGTCAAAGGGTCAAAGTTCTTAGTATCCAATAAAGGGTCTTCTCACAAGGATAAAAAAAGTAAAAAAAAATCTACAAGGTCAAGGTCAAAGGGTCAAAGTTGTTGGTATCCAGTGAAAGGTCTTTTAACAAACATTATATATGTGAAGTATAAATATCCTGGTGTCTTCTGTTCAAAAGATATGGCCGAAGTAAAATTTTAGAATTTTTGTGTAAAAGTGGGCCAAACACCAAGGTCAAAGTCAAAAGGTCAAATTTGGTGGTACCAAAAGAAAGGTCTTGTCATAAGGATCAAATATTAAAAGTATGAAAGCACTGGCCCTAACTCTTTAAAGTTATAGTCAAGGTTTGCTTTTTTAAAGTAGGTCAATCTCAAAGGTCAAGGTCAAAGGGTCAAAGATCTTGGTATCCAATGAAGGGTCTTCTCACAAGGATTACATGTATGAGGTATGAAAGCCCAATCCCTTACCGTACAAAAGTTATGGCCAAGGTTAAAGTTTTTTCACAAGTACAGAAATCTACAAGGTCAAGGTCAAAGGGTCAAAGTTGTTGGTATCCAGTGAAAGGTCTTTTAACAAGCATTACATATATGAAGTATAAATGTCCTGGTGTCTACTGTTCAAAAGATATGGCCAAAGTAAAATTTTAAAATTTTCATGTAAAAGTGGGTCAAACTCCAAGGTCAAGGTCAAAAGGTCAAATTTGGTGGTACCCAAAGAAGGGTCTTGTCACAAGGAATACACATATGAAATATGAAAGTCATAGCTCCACTAAATCAAAAGTTATGGGCAAGATTAAAGTTTTTGCAGACAAACAGAGAGACAGAAAGACAGAGACTCAGACAGATAGACACGACAAAAACTATATACCCCCGAAACTTCGTTTACGGGGGCATAAAAACATTGAGAAAACGGTATACTATAGTAATATTCACTGACTGCTATATTGATAAAACACATCACTCATTTTATTATCAAATTACATGTATAAAATGAAAGCAGTGCAGGATAATTTTTTGTGAAGAAAATAAAAAAAGTACGAAAAAGGGCTTTCGGAAAGTCTGTGTACTGATGCAATTAAAAAATGTGATTGGTACTTACAAAATTGTCAACCAACACGAAACAACAAAAGTTACAAAAGACGTGTTGAACATTTTAGTTTGAAAATTCATAACTTGTCGAAATTTCATTAAATACAAAGAAATTATTTGATCATGAAGTCCTATAGGACTACTGTATACTGGTTTATTTTCGCCCCGCTTTATTTTCGGCCTTTCACACTTGCAAACTATTTTGCCCCGCTTTAAATTCGCCCAGTAACAGTTCTGTTTAAGAAATTATACTGTATTCTTTGAATCTGCCCCGTTTGAAATTCGTATAATCGAGAGAAGGGCGAAAGGGGCGAAAATAAAACGGGGGCGAAAATTTTCCTGTATACAGTATTGATTTTCATTGCCCGCCTAATCTAGTAAAGCATAAAAACAAGATCATTTGTTGCGTAGTTCTAAACACAGAAAGAGCCTCCATTGCCAATGACCACTAGAACTTATTATAGGTAAAAGTTCGAAGCCCTTCACCGAGATGAAATGTATTTTACCAAATCAACAGTACTGAGGGAACCAATGAGATTGCTTCGAGGTCACGTGATGGTCAGTGCTTTGAGGTTTCTTTGTTTACAAAGACGTGCATCTTCATCTCTGTGGAATTTATTAATTTTTAAAGTAATTCTGACTTTGTTTGCTTGCCATTGAATGCGTTAAAACTTGTGAAAGAGTTACAGAACTACTAAGAACATTTTCCTAGAGTGGTATAATTTCTGTAAATACAGAATGCCACGATCCGCGAGGCGGGAGGTTGATGCTGCCATTGTTGAGCCCCATTGTGGGCCAGGCACTGCTTTATCTCATACACCCAATTCTGGGTTTGAGAGTTCTGAAAATACTGAGCCCAATTTTGGGACAAAGACGCAGTCAAAAAACAATTTTGGATCTGCGGGAGACAGGAGCATTCACATAGCTGACTGCGAACCGAGCGTTGGAGATTACGTAACAGAATCCCGATCCAGCACCCATGCTTCTGAATCGGGATTGGAATGTCAAAATGACTTCCGGCAAAAACAAAAACAATGCAGCTGGAGAAATGATGCCATCGGCATTGGAGACATTTCTCATGAAACAGACTGAGTTAATGCAGCAAATGATGGTTAATATGAGCCATGTGCCAAAACTAAACCAGCCATCGGCAACCATTACTAGACCACTGGACGAAAATGACGACAATTCATACTCAATCGCATTATCTGAGGAGTCGCAAGGAAATTCGGATGAAGAACCGGATACGGATTGGACGAATGAATTAGACAAAATAGCTGATCCAGCCGCAATCGAGGATGATATTATAGACGAAAAGGATTCAGATGACTTACTTTCTTCTATGGAACTATTTTATAAACAGGAAGAAAAATGTTCTGGTAAAATTGAAGACAGACTTGCAAAAATTGTAAATGATAGCATGAGGACACGTATTGGAGAAACAAAAAAGAAAGACTTACTGGCAAAACACATGAAACCACAGAACTGTGAGAAAATAACAGTCCCTAGAATTAACAAGGGCATCTGATCAAGCCTACCAAGGAAAGCACGGGACCAAGATTTAAAACTACAACACATACAAAGTACTATGTGTAAAACCTTTTATCCATTGATACACTTAATGGACAAACTTCTGAAAGCACAGACTGGGAAACAAGGACTTACACAGACAGATGTTACTGACTGTTTTGCTCTGTGCAATGACACTTTCAAACTGTTACAACTGGGGTTCTCGGAGATGTCACAACGAAGAAGATTGTCACTCAGACCTGAGCTGTCTAACGAGTACAAGGCATTATGTGCAGCAGAAATTCCTGTCACATATTATTTGTTTGGGGACGAACTAGAGAAACAAATCAAAGAAATAACTGATGCCAAAAAAGTCAGCAGGAAAATCACAGACAAACACAACCAGTCTCAGCGATACTCCCCCATCTATTCAAATTTCAAGAACCGTTACACACAGAACAGGCAGAACAGCTTTAAGTCTCCATCTTATGGACGACATACAATGAATAACAGGAACAACACCAACAAGAGCTCTTTTTTAGAGAAGCGCCAGTTCCAAAAATTTCAAAGGAACAAAAAAGACTAGAACAAAACCCTACAACTGTAAGTACTGATACAAGAAACATGAGACTGAAAAATAACCCTGACAATTTTACGGGGGGAAAAATTTCTTCATTCAGAAATAAATGGTCAGAGATCACCTCTGATCCCTGGACTCTAAATGTTGTATCAGGTTATGAAATTGAACTTGCAAGTGAACCCTTACAAAAATTGGTTCCAAGGAACATAAAATTTTCTATGACTGAGGAAGAAGGTCTAGATAGGGAAATTTCTAAATTCTTAGATAAAAACATAATTGAAAAAGGGAATGATTTTTATTGTGATCAGTATATATCAACAATCTTTCCTCGTGAGAAAAAAGATGGCTCAATCAGACTCATTTTGAATTTGAAAAAATTTAATTCAGAAGTAGAACACATCCATTTCAAGATGGACACATTAAAATCAGCTATAAACCTAATGAAAAAAGACTGTTGGTTTGCTTCCATTGACCTAAAAGATGCCTATTATTCAGTCCCAGTAACAAGGGCAGACAGAAAATATCTCCGATTCATGTGGAAAGACCAATTATTTCAATTTACCTGTCTACCCATGGGATTATCTACATCTCCAAGAGTGTTCACAAAACTTTTGAAACCAGTTCTTTTACAACTGAGGAAATTGGGTCATTCAATAGTGTGCTACATAGATGACTGCTTGCTACAGGGTGATTCTTATTATTCTTGTAAAAACAACGTGTTAGACACAGTAACACTTATGGATAATTTAGGACTAACAATTCATCCGGAGAAGTCAATATTTGTTCCAACTAAAGAAATAGAATTTTTGGGATTTTTATTGAATTCAGAAAAAATGACTGTGTCAGTAACTTGTGAAAAAGCAGACAAAATTGTCCTACTGTGCAAAAAAGTACTTAATAAAGTTGAAATCTCTATCAGAGACTTTTCACAAATCATAGGAAAATTGGTTGCATGTCAGCCAGGTGTCCAGTTCGCACCACTATTTTTGAAAGACTTAGAACATGAAAAAGAACAAGCATTAAAATGTGCTAAAGGTGATTATGATTCAGTTATTAAAATATCAGAATCAGCACGAGACATCTTATCATGGTGGATTAACAATCTCCACACAAGTCTCTACCCTATCAATAGACCCGAACCACATGTGGTGTTAGAGAGCGATAGTTCAGGCTTAGGATGGGGGGGACTACTCCAAGGTGACTCTTCAAAAAAACAGGGGGACACTGGTCTTACACAGAACAGCAAAACCACATCAATTATTTGGAACTGTTAGCTGGGTTCTTGACCTTAAAAAGTTTTTGCTCTATCATGAAAGACTGTCATATAAAACTGTGCATGGACAATACAGTAGCTGTCTCCTACTTGCAAAATATGGGAGGTAAAACTCCGACATTACACAACTTGGCACGAGAAATTTGGCTTTGGTGTAAACGTCGAAATATTTGGTTAACTGCATGTCACCTTCCTGGTAAGAAAAATTATGAAGCAGACAAACTCTCAAGAAACTTATCTAAGGATATGGAATGGATGTTAGACAAGACTGTATTTCAAAATATTTGTGAACAGCTTGGAACCCCTGATATTGATTTATTTGCTTCCAGAATCAATACACAGTTGACTACATATGTGTCATTTTTACCAGACCCCACAGCAATTGCTGTAGATGCTTTTAGCTTTGCATGGACATATGATAAACTATATTATATGTTTCCTCCTTTTAGCTTGTTGGGGAGAGTCATTCAAAAGATAGAGACAGACAGATGCAAAGCAGTTCTGGTGGCACCTCTTTGGACAACTCAGCATTGGTTCACAAAATTACTCCAATTACTGGTGGAACCACCTATTCTAATACCAAAGCGACATCATCTATTAACTCTTCCCATGTCACCAAACGAGAAGCATCCACTGTCAAAAATGCGACTTTTTGTGTGCAAAATATCAGGGAGAGCCTCAGACAGCAAAATATATCGGAGGACATTGCAGACATTTTGCTATCATCCTGGAGACAATCCACACAACAACAATATTGGACGTATTTCCATAAATGGATGCTATTTTGTGAGCGAAAATCAATTAATACATTTCAAGCATCTGTAAATAATGTTTTAGAGTTCTTATTACAATTGTACAACAGTGGATTAGGTTATAGTGCTGTGAACACAGCAAAGTCATGTATTTCTTCAGTGTTTGAAATTATTAATCCGGAAACTAGTCTTGGTAGCAATAGTTTGATTAAAAAATTTATGAGAGGCATATTTAACAAAAGACCATCATTGCCTAGATATGCATGTACATGGGATGTTTCATTAGTTTTAGAATATTTGAAAACTCTTATTCCTGTAAATACTATTAGTCTTAGACTTTTGAGTTGGAAGTTAGCTATGTTGATTGCTTTATTGACAGGACAAAGATGTCAGTCTTTACATCTGATAGATATTAGAAATATTTTCATATACAATGTTTTTGTAAAAATTCATTTCGGAGACTTGTTGAAACAATCCAAACCTGGCAGTCATTTACAACCTATTGAACTTGTGCGATACAAACAAGATGAACGCTTATGTGTTGTGAAAACCTTACAAGAATACTTAGGACGTACAAAATCTTTGCGTGGCGAAGAAATACAGCTGTTCGTTAGCACCATGACACCTCATCAAAAGATTTCCAAACAGACAATTAGCAACTGGATAAGGACTGTGTTAGAAAATTCTGGTATTGATGTAAAAATGTTTAAGGCTCACAGCACAAGAACAGCATCAATGAGTGCTGCAAAATCCGCAAATGTACCAATTACGACCATTTTGAATGTTGCCGGTTGGAAATCAGATTGTACATTTCGAAAGTTTTATAATAAGCCATGTAGTGAAGAAAAAGTGAATGTAGGAAATATTATTTTGGAAAATTATTCAAAGTCATGAAATCTAATTGTGTCGCTTTTGTTTAAAATGTCAATACATCATCATGTTAAATGCATGTTTATGTTATATTCAACTAGTCGAAAATAAAAGTGAACTGTTTGCATTTGTTTTTAATATATACAATACATTTTGAATCCTTGGAAGTATTGTCTCTAAAATCTCATTGGTTCCCTCAGTACTGTTGATTTGGTAAAATTAGAAAATTAAATGAATATTACTTGTAAGATGAAATTTGATTATAATTTTACCAAATCAACTTAGTACTGAGGGATCAAATGCCCATCCCATATCCACCCTTTGTATATGGGATGCTGGAAATCATCTAAATCTAAATGGATATTATTATTATTAAAATTACATCAATACTTCCAAGGATCTCTGAATACTGACCATCACGTGACCTCGAAGCAATCTCATTTGATCCCTCAGTACTAAGTTGATTTGGTAAAATTATAATCAAATTTCATCTTACAAGTAATATTCATTTAATTTTCTAATTAGAACCGCTGGTATGTCAAGTATTTATTCAAAAAAAACTTTCACTACTTTTGGGATTATTCATACGTACTTTTGACTGACGTAAAAAAATGATGAAAGTACCCACATGTACAAGCGATTCTCAGGTGTAAAGACGAATAAAGACCCCCATCGAATAATGACCGGGGGTCATTATTCGACAGCGAAAAATGACCCCCGGTCATTATTCGACGTAGAAAAATGACCCTTTTGCCCGTAGAAAAAGTGTCACCACCCTAAAAATTTGCAGAACCCACGTGAAGAAAAATGACCCCCGTAGAAAAAAGACTCCCTGTTGATTAAAGCTGAAATTTTTAGGGGGCAAAAAAATATTGGATAAAGAAGCATATTGGCCAAAAAGCTCACCTGAGCTTCTTTGGAATAAATTGATGATATGTTGATCTCATAACATACGATTATAGATATATTTTAAGGTCAATGCGATGATTCAGAATCTAAAGGAGTAAAGATTTATCGAGCCTAAAGGGTTAGATAAACATTGTTTTTCAATGGTAGGAATCATCGTTCTGACAGGAAAAATCAGCAGTATCATATATTATTTTATCCTCCGCTTGAAAAGCGGGAGGGTTTATAGTGATTTGGATGTCTGTCCGTCTGTTATGCTTTGGGGTATCCATCTGTTATCCGCAACTCCTCTTATATATAACAAGATCAACATGTGTTTGTAAAACACTGATGCCCCCGTATGGCAACATAGCAAAGATTAAGCTTTTCTTAAATGCTAATTTAATTAATTGGTACCAAAAGTAGGGTATTCTCACTAGAAAACAATTGTGAAATTTGAAAGTAAGCTAATGTTAAAGTTTTTTAATAAGCAGGGATGGGGTAATAGAATAAAGTAATTGTAATTGAGTGTAATTACTTACATTTTTCAAAGTAATTGAAAGTAATTTGTATTTGAGCGAGGCTTCAATTACAAGTAATTGAATGTATTTAAATACATTTCAAAAAAGGTCATGTATTTTCAATTATTTTTCAATTACATTTCAATTACTTTTTTTTCGAAAATGAAAGTTTATATTTAAAAAGATGTCTTATAATGATACATATATATATGGTTGCTGGTTGGTTTATATTACTTATTCCCATGTTTTATAAATCTTAGTTCTTGTTATTACCACTTGCAAATAACAATGATTGTTTAGATGGTTACCGGTAATTTATTTTACAGCAATTAGACTAACTACATCCCCTTTTAGATTTACCTGTATTCTATTCATTTTAAGATAGAAAATAATGAATTGAATTGTGATAGATATTATTTATTTCCTTCAAAAATGTGGACTTGAGAAAGTAACAAAAAAAGATCATGCCATACACCATACTGGTGTAGCATGGGCTTGTGTTTGTACAATAATTAATTGTCTCATAATTTTTAATTTGTTTATACAGTGTGTCACACTCATTAGAAGGCAATGGTCTAATCTTGACCAGGTGTGAACCCCTATCATACCCAAGTACAAAAACACTGAATGAAAATTCGAATTTGATTTTATTTTTGTTTTTTTTTTTATAAAAATAAAACTCAAAGTAATTGAAATGTATTTAATTACATTTGTCAAAGTAATTGAAAGTATTTGATTACATTTGAAAAAATCAATGTAATTGTGATTGCAAGTAATTGACAAAATTATCAATGTATTTGAAAGTAATTAATTACATTACAAAGTAATTGACCCAAAGCCTGTTAATAAGTACAAAAATCTGCAAGGCCAAGGTCAAAAGGTCAATGTAATTAGTATCAAATGAAAGGTCTTGCCACATAAAATACTTATGTAGAGCATGAAAGCCCTAGCCCCAACCGTTCAGAAGTTATGGTCAACTTTCAATTTCTTAAAAAGTAGGTCAAACTCCAAGGTCAAAGTCAAAGGGTCAAAGTTATTGTTATCAAATGAAAGGTCTTGTCATAAGGATCAAATATGTAAAGTATGCAAGCATTAGCCCTAACTCTTTAAAAGTTATGGTTAAGGTTTGCTTTTTTAAAGTAGGTCAAAGTCAAAGGGTCAAAGATCTTTGTATCCAATGAATGTTCTTTTCACAAGGATTACATATATGAAGTATGAAAGCCCTATCCCTTACCGTTCAAAAGTTTTGGCCAAGGTTAAAGTTTTTCACAAGTACGGAAATCTACAAGGTCAAAGGGTCAAAGTTGTTGGTATTCATTGAAAGGTCTTTTAACAAACATAACATATATGAAGTACAAATGTCCTGGTGTCTATTGTTCAAAAGATATGGCCAAAATAAAATTTTAAAATTTTCATGTAAAAGTGGGTCAAAGTCCAAGGTCAAGGTCAAAAGGTCAAATTTGGTGGTACCCAAAGAAAGGTCTTGTCACAAGAAATACATATATGAAATATGAAAGTCATAGCTCCACTAAATCGAAAGTTATGGGCAAGGTTAAAGTTTTTGCAGACAAACAGAGAGACAGCTAGACAGACAGAGAGACAGACAGACGGACACGACAAAAACTATAACCCCGAAACTTCGTTTACGGGGCATAAAAATATGTATTTTAAACAGCTATGCCCCTGTATGGCAACATAGCGAAGATTAAATTTTTCTTAAAGGCAATTTAAATATAATGGTACCCAAAGTAGGGTCTTCTCACAAGAAATACAATTGCAAAATAAGAAGGCCCTAGCACCACTTGTTAAAAATTAATGGCTAAGGATAAGTGTTTGAAAGGAAGGTCAAACTCAAAGGTCAAAGGGTCAAAGTTGATGGTTTCTTAAGAAAGGTTTAATGTAAGAAGGATTACATTAATTAAATTTTGTGAAGTATGAGAGTACTAGTATCTTCCGTTTAAAAGTTATAGCCAAAGTAAATTAATAAAAAATTTGGCATTTTTGTGTAAAATGGGACAAACTGCAATGTAAAAGTCAAAAGGTCAAATCTTGTGGTACCCAAAGTAAGGTCTTGTCACAAGGAATGTACACATATTGAATTTGAAAGACATAGCTACAATAAATGAAAAGTTATGGTAAAGGTTAAAGTTTTTGCGGAGAAACAGACATACAGACGGACACGATAAAACTATATACCCCCGAATCTTCGATTACAGGGACATAAAAAGAAATAGTCTTCAATTAACTTTTCATATTATGATACAGTATAAAGAAGACGTTACAAAAATGAAAATGTTTGTTCTGATTTTCATATATAAATTCTCTGAAAAATATATACTCAGAACTGGGTAAAATCGTGGAGTAAAACAAGAAATAAGAAATGTAATGAATACTGTGCGCTAAATCAAATGGTTATGTCTACATCTACATGTATAGTTTTTGCATTAGAATGTGTATTTTACACTAGCCCATAGCTTTACAGAGCATACTTTTAGGTGTAATACCCACCCCACCCCCTTACTTATTTAGGAGGAAGTTGATTATCAACAAAAGCAACAAAAAAAAAACTACCCTACCTTTATTCTTCTATAAGGAGGGACTAAAAATAAGCTGAAAATGATCTACTATTCTACTTATTTTTAACTGTTACTCTGCCAGAATACTTTCAAGTATACCCCCACCAACATTTAAAGTATATTTTAATCATGGCGAAGTAAATTGTGATATGATTGAACTTGTGTGAAGGCTTAATTTCATTTCAATATTTTATCTACAGCCTCTTTCAGTATTATTGAAAGGTACAGAGTTTTATTTATATTTTTGCTTTTCATTTATTATGCCCCTGTAAACAAAGTTTCGGGGGTATACAGTTTTTGTCGTGTCCGTCTGTCTGTCTGTCTCTCTGTCTGTCTAGCTGTCTCTCTGTTTGTCTGTTTGTCTGCAAAAACTTTAACCTTGCCCATAACTTTTGATTTAGTGGAGCTATGACTTTCATATTTCATATATGTATTTCTTGTGACAAGACCTTTCTTTGGGTACCACCAAATTTGACCCTTTGACCTTGACCTTGGAGTTTGACCCACTTTTACATGAAAATTTTAAAATTTTACTTTGGCCATATCTTTTGAATAGTAGACACCAGGACATTTATACTTCACATATATAATGATTGTCAAAAGACCTTTCACTAGATACCAACAACTTTGACCCTTTGACCTTGACCTTGTAGATTTCCTTACTTGTGAAAAAACTGTAACCTTGGCCATACCTTTTGAACGGTAAGGGATAGGGCTTTCATACTCCATATATGTAATTCTTGTGAGAAGACCCTTTATTGGATATGAAGATCCTTGACACTTTGACCTTGACTTTTGAGATTGACCTACTTTAAAAAATCAAACCTTGACCATAACTTTTAAAAACTTAGGGCTATTGCTTTCATACTTTACATATTTAATTCTTATGACAAGACCTTTCATTTGATAACAATAACTTTGACCCTTTCACCTTGACCTTGGAGATTGACCTGCTATAAAAATACATCATTGACCATAACTTTGAAAGGGTTTGGGCTAGGGTATTCATACAGTGTACTTCACATATTTAATCCTTGTGGCAAGACCTTTCGTTTGATATCAAGAGCTTTGACCTTTTGACGTTGACATTGGAGTTTGACTTACTTTTTACAAAGATTAACCTTGACCATAACATTTGAACAGTAGGGGCTAAAACTTTCATTTTTCACATGTGTTATCCGTGTGACAAGACCTTTCATTGGATATCAAGAATCTTGACCCTTTGACCTTGACTTTTGAGTTTTTTTGTTTTTTTTTTTTTGGGGGGGGGGGGTAAAAATTTCCTCCTCTTTCACTGTCAAATAGGATTTGCCAAACTTATACAATCTAAAAGATGAAATGAAGGAAAAATTAATTTTTCTATTAAAGAGTATTGGAACCCGATTGTTGCATGGTTTGATTTCTAAAAACAAGTGGAATATCATTCTTTAAGCAAACACTATAAGGAGGAATATTAAAAAGAAATTTTATTTACTTTACAATTAAAGAATCTCTTTTCACTTTAAAGGGGGCCTTTTTCAATGGGGGTCAATTTTTTATAGGAATAACATATAAAATAATGACCCCTAGGGCATTTTTTCTACAAAAAATGAATTTTTTCTACGGGTAGGGGGTCATTTTTTGTCATTGAAAAATGACCCCCGGTCATTATTCGACGGGGGGTCATTATTCGTCTTTACACCGGCTCTAATACAAGGTTTAAAGTTTTTTTATTACATGCATATATAGATTATGACCCGAGTTTTTATTGAATTTGACATAATGACATCGTAGCTTATGCATTATTATAATATTGCACTATGTAAAAGCGATATAATAATTTAGTCAGCCGATGCAGAAATCAGTATATATATTTTCTCTAGCACACATAGTCTCAATAAAAGTTTGTAAGAGCTTTAGAAGCACTGTAAACCAACTTTTATTCGCGACGACTATACTTTGCGATATGCCAGGGGTAAACTGCTTCGCGACGATTAAAAAGCCTCGTAATCGCGAATATTTCGCCGCAGACTGGTCTTTTAATTCTCTGTGTCTATGAAATACAGATTTGAAAAAAGCTTAATCGCGAAAATTAATCTTTCATTGTCAAATAGGATTTGCCAAACTTGTACAATCTAAAAGATGAAATGAAGGAAAAATTAAGCGAATAAAAGTTAGATAACAGTTGTTTTGAATCAGTTTCTTTGTTATCTCTTTAGATTGCGATTACACGTTTTATTATATATACAAAAAGTTTTAAAATGCATTATCCATAGATTTAGATATATTAACAAAGGATGCTTGAATTTGATCAATTATTTTTTTGTATTCATCTCCATGTCTTTAGAACGTTGGAGCTCATCTTTTTAAAGCCCATTTGATTTCGTTCAGATGCTGGTTGCTCTACACCCGTCCACTTTCACTCACCAGCTCCCATCCCAAGTAGATTTTTTGAGATTTGACGGTTAACAGATAACTTGATTGTTTTGACACCCCCGTATAAATTCGTTGCTACGGTCTATTTTTACGTCTATTTAAATACATGACTTATAGGCAATGCTTTCTCCTACCTTTGTATTCAATAATAAGCAAAGTGTATTGGGGGTGATAGTGGTTTGTAATTCAGTAACTACAAACAAAACATGTAGTTTTTAAAAAAAATAATTTAAATTTCAACAGTACAAAGAAGTGCATGTACGAAAGCTAGGTGAAGACCATGCAGTCGTAGTTATACAATAAAACTGGATAGACTATTGTGGAATCTTGAAGGAATACGACCATATTCATCCGATGCTTCACGATACTGCTTTAATGCTTGTCTCTGATATTTCTTTACTTTCCCAGTGTCTAATTTTAAATTTAATATTACGTATCTCTTATTCATCCGTCACTTTTTACGAAAATACATCTGCATCATCAGTTTATTCTTAGAGAATACCCTAGCAATGACCTACTTAATTATATTTTCAAAAATGTTCTCAAATTATACTTTTATAGGTATTATCGTATACGTATAAACTTATTTTTATCTTTGAATTCTTCATTATCAAAACAAAAAAGTTGTGTAAAGACTAGGAACTTAGGCGTACTCATGAGCAGCCGTAGATTCTTAGCTAATAAATTAACTTTGTCCGATTTTAGGTTTAGTCACGCAGATTCAATCTCGAAGTTTACGCATAGTCGTAGGCTGTTTTGAGAAACGGGCCCCTGGTTGTTAAAAGTCCTTGTTTGCTGTCCCTCCGACTTGATTTATTTCAATAGATTTTTTAGCTTTATGAATAATCATTATTTTTTCTATATTTCATTTAGAAAAGATTTTTTTGAAAAGATATATAAAATTTGCTTCAGTGAACTTATTTAAACTTCTTATTTTTCCTATTTTCATTTTTTTATGAAAAACCTATAAACGTTCACCTTACCTAAGATTATATAATTTCTTCCTGAATCTACAATAATTTCGTCTGTTGGATCGCTTAAATGAATCTTTGAACGAATGTAGATTGAATGTCGCTTTCCTGGTTGTAATTTACATGGAGTTGTATATTCCGATATATTTCCGACAGAAACTGTTTTTGAAGAAATGGCTTGGTTTCCATTCATAATATGTGTATCAGAAGTGATGACTTGGTATCCTGTTATCAGCTCTCGGTCCCTTGTAGGATGCTCCCATGTAATGGTTATGTCACACGTGGAGCTCCAAATATGGATTGATCGTGCTTGTAAATCACTCCCTGTAATAAAAAGACATATTTTTAATCTTGCTTTTTAACAACATTAAAATATCAAATGCTTAAATGATGTTGGGAATTTTTTTTATGTATTATATAAAATATTAATCATACAAAGCATACTCACTGCTGTAGCATTCTTTTCCCTTATGATAAGTATCTGTATTGCACAGACATTTGCCGCTAGAACATTCCAAATATTTATGTTCAAGGCATTCTCTTGTATAGTTACATGGCTCAGAAAATTTTAGACCTGTGGAAGAAATCATGAATGAATACAGCGTTAAGAAGCAAGCTTTTAAAAAAAGAGTTTTGACTTCTGTTGTTTAAACGCAGAAAATTATATGCACAACATCACGTACTTCCATGAACGTCAACATTTGATGTATATTCACTTGTTCCCCAACCTTCCGAATTTCGTGCAGAGCATCGAAACCAAGCTCCTTCTTCATGATAAAAATCCACCCTGTTGATAACCAGTTTTGGGTTGAAGAGGTCAAGGGAACTGCCGTTATATCTACTGTGCGTTATGTTGAACCCGCTGAAATTTGTTTCCCACTTCATTTCCAAAGTCGGCGGAAAATCAGACATATTTTTGACTGTTGCTGTTATTTCCATGTTTGAGAGGTATGGAACATCGACCGAATGCCCTGAAGTGATTATCACCCAAGGAGTACCTTGTGAAGACATAAGATACAGAAAAATAACTTCTCTACTTGTAAAAACAACTTGGCCAATTTTATTAAAGAATGATTTAGAAAAACAAATAAATAAATAAATAATAAAATTACGTAAATGTTATAATAATTAAACCTGAGTTTGAGTACTGAACATTTCATTACAGCAAATTGTTTGTTTAAAAAAACGTAAATTCTTTCAACTGGTATACTTTGGGAAGCTATTACATTTATTCCTTTTTCATCATTTTTTTTCTAAAAACAAATTAACAATTTTTTCAATTACAAATGTCCTCAAACTGAAATATTTCTTTAAAAAAAAAGATTGATCAAATCAATACCTATTTGATGTAATTCATCGTGACATAAGCAAGAAAGTTTTGAATTTTTTTCCGATCGAAAGACACACAGAATAAAAATTAGATCGTTGGTATTGAAAATACAGAAAAAAATGTAAACTTCATGTACATAAGTGTTTGATGAAAATGTGATTTGGTATAGAATAATACATACTACAGCTTACTCCACTTATATTGAACTCGCTTATTTTGAAATTCCGCTTATTTTGAAATAGAAATAAATCCCCCGTTTTTGCCTCTCATATTCTTTGCATTGAAATAACGGTTATATTGAAATCCGATATATTGAAATTTTGCTTATATTGAAGCCACTGATCGGTCCCCACAGGTGATAATGAGTTGTTTTCATAAAGGTTATATTGAAGTACTCCCTGGCGGCTGTCATTACAGTTGGTGGCAATAATTATGCCTGATTGACCAGCTGATATACAAAGGTGTGAATAATTAAGTTTTCACCTTATGTGTTTTTATACTGCATGTTCTTACGAAATAAAATTCTTCACTGTTAAATTCTTTGCGGCCATGTATATAATACGGACATATCGAGGCTAAACAGATAAACGTAATATTATAATAGTAACCCCCACAGATCTAGAAAAAAAACCCATAACTTTGAAATTAAATGAGTGCTGTTAATGGCTATTGATACGCCTAAATTCGAAATAACTAAGGGATTACCCCGAGTACACTTACGATGAAATACAAGCAGCGTTCAGCAGTACTCAACCGTTTTAGTCCGGTGAATTTTCTCCAAAACGCAAATAAATGTGATCGGGGAATAATAATGAGGTTGGAAATTGTCTTTTCAATGTAAAAGAAATAAAAAAAAATATTTAAACTTTCAAGGACTCATATTCTTTGTTATTTGTTCACTGTTATAGATAAACGAGAACAAAGTTAATTTGTTCGGGTTTGTTCTTCTTTATTTAAGATCGGGGTTGAACTTGTAAAAATGGCGGCTTCACGATTTCGCTTATATTGAATTACGGATATATTGAAATAATTTGCATGGTCCCCTGAATTTCAATATATCCGGAGTAGGCTGTATTATGTAATAAGAAACATCACACTTACGTAGAGTACCGATTACTTCCTTATAAGCCTTACTACTTTTCCCATAACTTCTGGCAACGATAGATACAGTGTAATTTTTACCAGGCTCCAACCTATTTGACAAGGACCCTTTATTAGTATATGTAACGAAGGCATAGGTTTGTGCATTACTATATATATTGATAATGTATCTATCAACACGAGTATTGTTTTCCGGAGGTGTCCATTCTAGATGTAGTTTTTCAGGGTGAAAGATACTAGTGTTCCTAATCACAGAGCCTGGTGGAAGAGGTTCTGAAAGTAAAACAATTTCATTTCTTATCTATGTTAATGGTTTGTTTACTACACCTTAATAATATTTTGTTGAATGTTATTAAGAAATCACTGCATGGTATTGAAGAATCTCCTCAAATACATTGTAACAGTAAACAAATAAAAGAAATCATAAAAACTGACCTACAATTAATGCCTGTCGTTTTTCAACGGTAAAGGTTTCTGAAGGGTCGGTCACTTTCACATTGGATGTAATTGTGAAATAGTATCTATGTCCAGGAACATAATAAGAGTGGTACCTATAACTCTTTTGTTTCCCTACAGATGCTGACTTTATGGTGGTACCTCCATTATCCGTGATGCTTATGCCGTAATTCTGTATTAAATCGGAGTCAGTACTTGGATCTCTCCACCCAAGGTTGATCTCAGAGGATGTTATGTTAGAATGTATATTTGTGGCTAAAAGTCTGGACTCTGCATTAGAAAATATTAAACAATTATAGTGTATTACTTTTATAGTCATTGGAAGTCATTATTAATATGATTGATTACTTGTGACAAGGAATTATAACCTATTGAGTAGTTAAGAGGCCAAATTCACTGATGTATTTTATGCAGTATTTACAATGATTAATTTGCATCAATTATTGTGAGTTAAAGTTGCTTATCTGCATAATTTCACATAATTATGTGGTACCAGGAATAAAAACATACGTATTTTATACATGTGAAGGTAGAAGTTAACAACTAAAACCTACTTTCAAAACACTTTTGGTTACGATGATAAAAACCATTACGGCAAAGGCACTTTTTCTGGTTGTTTGTTGGCAAGCATAGTAAATATTTCCTTTCATCACATTCCCGAGATTCATTGCATCTGCTATTATATTGTAAAACTGAAGAAGCAAGAACATAAAAATTAAATGACTGAATAAAATGAACTTCAACATCTATGTTACCACCACTGTTAATTACTAGTATAGGTTTATAGGATCATCTGATGTTTAGATAATTAAGATGGGTAAAAAAAGTTTTCTTTGTCTTTATTTAACACACAGAATCAAAAACTAAAAAAACATACTTCCCCGAACTTTCTGTAAGTGAACTCTTGAGCTTGTACACCAGCCATCAGAAATCTTGACTTGCAGCCGATAATAACCAGTGTCATCAAAGTTAAGATTATTAATAACAAGTTTTGGAGATGGTAAATGTTCCGTCTCGTCATATTTTGGGTCAAATCTGTCAATATCTTCAGAATGACCATTATTTTCAATTCTCTGCCATATAGCATCAATAGGGGATTCTTGTTTTGCTTCTACGTTTACAGTAAACACCGCTTTTTTCCCAAAATCTACTTCTTGAAAAGGCGGGATAGACAACATGGATGGGCACACTAAAACAAGAAGCATTTAATGCAGATAAGCTGTGATTGTACTTTCAAGACAAGTACATGAAATGGAAAGTATGAACATTTTTTTAATCTAAATTTAAACCAAAAAATTAAATTACGCTTTGAGGAAACAATTAGAAATACAATTATATGCTAAAAATAGAAATATACTACACGTTTAGAATTAAGTATAATGAATGAACTGTATTTAACATTTTATGTTAGATTCCATAGCAGCTCAACATGTATGCTAAAAAAAACCCTACAAGAAGCATTTGCCCTCTGTAGTATGATCCCACTGATATGGTTCACGTCAAATGTCAGTATGAACAACAGTACACAAAAAAGGTTGGATTGAGACATGTTTTCCAAAATAAAACACTTTTGACGTTATCAGCTTTGTGATATTGTGTTTAATCTCACATCTCAGAGATCTAAAAAGAGAAGTTAAAAATAAATTTTGTTATTATATAGTCTATTTATAGTCCCTATATAATCTATACAAACGCAAACAGTTCATAACACTAAATATTCACCGGATTTTAAGCCGTATTCACCGGAGGGTCAATGCGCGTGCAACAGCATTGTGACGTCACAATCAAAACATCAAACAACGTTGAAAACAACGGTTGCAACAGCTGCAGCGAGCTACGTATCTGAGCAGAAAAAACAATTATTCAAACCTTTTTTCAGGATTATTTTTTAACATCTGGACGTCTTACACATAGCGAAACTCGGAAAGGAAAACACATTGGCTACAAACACTGTAATCTAGAGATTTTTTTTTTATTTTCAACAATGGAAGATCGCAAATGAAAATGGTGTCGTCATACAGCCTTCAATGTCTTATCTATTCAAATCCCGACTATATAATAAAACAATCATGTACTCTTTTGGTGTTGAATATGGTTTGTTATTCACCAGAAAAATATCCATATTGACCTCGGTCAATATGAATATTTTTCTGGTGAATAACAAACCATATTCAACACCAAAAGAGTCCATAATTGTATATTAGATGTCGATATAAGGGCGAATAACGATCCCTGTGAAACAATCATTCCGACGTTGAAGAATAAATACGGTCATGCGCGGAATAAGGAACACTTGAAGATTTTTTAAGAGATATTTTTTGTTATTTGATAAATTGAGAATAAAAAGTAAAGAGTATCGTGGATCAATTGCTCTTCGGAATTACATTAATTTAATCTTTCAATGAGGCTTTACTTTATTATAAATTGATAGACTAATCTTTCATCTTCAGAGTGTAAAAATATTCCCGAATTGATCTAACAAATGTTTATCTACCGGTTATGTTAGTTTTTTTCCGAATACCCTTTTTAAGTCAAAGATTTTAACAGTGGGCAATACTGTTCATATAATATATATATATATCCCTTAAAAATTAAAATTAGAAGAGTACATGATATTTAATTGAAGACATATTCGGACTTTTCACAAAAATCGTTAACAACAAGAATTAATCAATTATAGTGTATTCGATGCATGTCCAAACAAAAAATGAGATAATCTTGTTCAATTATCTATGATATTTCGTACAGTTCAAACATAATGCTTAATATATGTACTTTAATTGATGTACTGTATGTTCTTCTTTATCAGAGAAAAGCATGACAATTTAGTCGAAACAAACAAACTTTAACAAATAAATCATAACAAGTAGGTCATTGTCAATCCAGGGCTTCCGTGCATAACTGTCTCCTTGTCGGAGCAAATAATGTGTCAGAAAAAAATTCTGGGCATCACCAGCACAATATTTTTTTTTAATTTTTTTTCTGAATTTAGAAAACTTACAGTCTATGGATTTAGTTACTAACAAGATTTTTTAAAATGATCTACATCTTTTCGAAATGATTGCTTTGATTAAGGTCTTGAAAGCCTTGTAACACTAACGTATTGTCATCAGAATCCTACTTGTTTTAAAAAAATGAATCTACTTAGACAATTTATCTTTAGTAAACCGTATAAGTTGCGATACATAAACATATGCGTTGGCAAACTAGGAAAACTACGAAATCAATACATATAAAAAGGTGGCTAGGTAAAAGCTAGTTATGATGTCATTTTTATTCGGCCATAAATGATAATAAGAGGTAAAATATTGAAAAAAGAACAGATTTAAAAAATAATCATGACGAAGACAAGACAAAAACTTAATCATCATTTTGATATCAACTTCAGAGTATTTGCATGTACAATCAGAATGTTTTTTAACAAAATAATTTTGTAAATGACTAATGACAAGGTACTAAGTAAGTAAATGAACGAGCTTCATTTGTATTGAAAAAGAAGCTGTCAATAATATTTAAAGACTTTTTTTTCTTGAGTATTGGGTATAGGTAATTTTGGTGCTTTTATCTCTTGAAAGTTACGAGTATTTCTTTAAAAAAGGAGGGGGAATTTTATAATTATTTACCGATATGCCAAATTCACTTATATGGTATTTCATGCTTCATGAAAGAAATTAAAAGGTTACGCTGTACATTCGTCTGAAGTCACTCTAAGTATAGTGCCGTCTCTATTAGAACCTGCAAAGTAAATTTTGTTTAATATATTTTATTTCAATATGTTTAACCTCTGCAAAGAAAATGAATGGAAATTGCAAATTAGAACTTTTTCAAAGTCAAAGGGGTATAAATCTGTCCAAAAAGGTCCAATCGTACCTAAAAAGAACTGGACCTAGATACTCTGATGAAAATTATGCATACCAAAGAAGAAGGTATGGTTTTGGCTTTATTGTGCCCTTAAAATGTATGATTTTAAAAAATTATGATATTGGCTTTAGCAATAATTGAGTAGACAAATATGTTAAATCATTAAAGAATACGGCGACATTAAGGAGGACCATTCTGAAAATATGACGTCACTAATGGGTACATTTCTAAGTTTAAGGGTTTTCCACTCTCACAATTTTAATGATTCAAAGTACAAAAACTGCATTTCTTTTCATTTAATATAGTTTAAATTTACTATCTATTGCAAAAAAATGTATAGGTCGCCATATTATTTAGGATAGGAGACATAAATAAACAGAAGTGTGTGTCAACATAAAAAAATAAATTTTTTGTAATTATTATAAAAATTTTGTAAAATCTGGTTCAAATGCAGAATTCTGATGCTGAAAGTCCCGATATACTTGCTACTTCTGATGAGAAAATTTTGAATCGTGAATACCAGCTGGGAAACTAAGAAATACAATATAGAAAATACCTGAATGAAGATACATGAGAAGGAGATTGAATCTTTACATCCACTGAATATTTTTCCATTTATTTCTTATGAAGACTATTGCCATTAATAAGTGCATGAACAACAATGAGTAAGCCACGTATGTAGTTTTCGTGAAAAATGGCTCTTCTTACTCTTTTACATAGAATGATATATTCATCTCAAAAACAATAGTTAACAAATTTTATTTTACTTTGAATGACTTTTGATACTGTTGTAAATATAAACGATAATATGCTTTCTTTGTTTGAATGTACGGGAATTAACGTCGGAGCAATTTCAAAAAAAAACAAGATGTGTTTGTAAAACACTGATGCCCCCGTATGGCAACATAGCAAAGATTAAACTTTTCTTAAATGCAAATTTAATTAATTGGTACCAAAAGTAGGGTATTCTCACTGGAAAACAATTGTGAAATTTGAAAATAAGCTAATGTTAAAATTTTTTAATAAGTACAAAAATCTCCAAGGTCAAGGTCAAAAGGTCAATGTAATTAGTATCAAATGAAAGGTTTTGTCACATAAAATACCTATGTAGACTATGAAAGCCCTATCCCTAACCGTTCAGAAGTAATGGTTAACGTTCAATTTCTTAAAAAGTAGGTCAAACTCTAAGGTCAAGGTCAAAGGGTCAAAGTCATTGTTATCAAATGAAAGGTCTTGTAATAAGGATCAAATATGTAAAGTATGAAAGCACTAACCCTAACTCTTGAAAAGTTATGGTCAAGGTTTGCTTTTTTAAAGTAGGTCAATCTCAAAGGTCAAAGGGTCAAAGTTCTTGGTATCCAATGAAGGGTCTTCTCACAAAGATTACATAAATGAAGTATGAAAGCCGTTCAACAGCCGTTACCGTTCAAAAGTTATGGCCAAGGTTAAAGTTTTTTCACAAGTACGGAAATCTACAAGGTCAAGGTCAAAGGGTCAAGGTTGTTGGTATCTAGTGAAAGGTCTTTTAATAAACATTACATATGTGAAGTATAAATGTCCTGGTGTCTACTGTTCAAAAAATATGACCAAAGTAAAATTTTAAAATTTTCATGTAAAAGTGGGACAAACTCCAAGGTCAAGGTCAAAAGGTCACATTTGGTGGTACCCAAAGAAAGGTCTTGTCACAAGGAATACACATATGAAGTATGAAGTCATAGCTCCACTAAATCAAAAGTTATGGGCAAGGTTAAAGTTTTTGCGGACAAACAGACAGACAGACAGACAGACAGACGGACACGACAAAAACTATATACCCCCGAAACTTCGTTTACGGGGGCATAATTACATACTCAAATGACATAGTAACCTGCTTACGCTTATCCTTGAATCTGAATCAGAGGGAGTTAACTTTTACCAAAAACAAGGCAGTGTATTAGGACACATTTCACCTTAACATGCTAATAGTGATATGAGTATTCAACACCTATACATATGTAATTTATTCAATTTCATTGAATTTGTTCTTATTTGAGATAAAATACATTTACAAGGTCCAAGAATTGACGCACTTTGATTTACTCTATCATAGCACCATGTTGGTGACCAGTCATCTTTCTAAAACCCTTGACTAGCGAAGGTAGTGACCAGTTGACTGTTAACCAGTGCTAAACTTAAGGAGGAATGCCACATCAACTTTTTATTCTAAAGATCTCTGAGTTAATCTTTTTAAACAAAGATTCAGCATTGAAAGGCCGACATTAGCTCTTAATTATTTTATGATTTTTTTTGTATTTTTCCAAAGAAAATGAAAAAAAAGATATTTACATTAAAAAAATGCTTTCTTGGAAAAAAAATTACTGTAAATAAATGTTTCACATGAATACCTAATAAATATGTATAAACAAGCCGTGTAGATATTAAAAAAAAATTTTGATAAAAAAATATTTATGAAAATAAAACACATAATTTGTTAATATTGACCAAACCTGTTGTTAAATCTTCTAAAAACCAGTCACAACTGGGGAGAACATGATTGTTAATCATATAAAAGAAATTGAAACGAAATAGCTAAATTTTAGAGAAATATTTTTTTTAAATTTTGGCCAATCCCGATCAAAATTGAACCGATTCCAACCATAATTGAACAATAATTGGAAATAAATAATATTTTCTCTTGAACACTTGTCTGATTAGGTGTAATAAGGTTTAAAACCTTATTGAACTACTTATTGAACTACTGTGTATTGAATAAAAT